TGTTACTATGTTACTTCCCCACTGACACCTTTAAAAGATGACTGGTTGATCGGCTCTCATGAGGAGGAAATTACACGGCAGAAGTGACCTACCTTTAGTTAAGGAGTGCAGTCAATGGGGGTGAATCCAGCCATCAGCTGGGACTGGTGGTAGGGCTGAGTGACACTCGGCCGAGCCCAGCAGGGAAGGTGGCTTAAGTTCATCTCCACAGATGATGCCAGGGGGGACAGTTCTGGCTGCACAATCCAGGTGATGATCTGACTGCATCAGTGTGAGCAGCAATACAGAAGGATATGGCTTGGAGTCTTATTGCAGAACTGTACTCTCAGATTTCTCTGGTAGTTTGTTGGGTTTTTTCCATTCCTTGATGCCCACTGCTCTTCACACATGGTGTTCCTACTGACAGCACAAGGAACTGTTCAGCGATAAAGGGCTTATAAGTAAAAATTGCAGTGCAGCACCAAGTGGTACGTCACTAAAGGCTTACATGTGTACAGATACTGCATATCCGTGGGATCTGCAAGGAAAGCTGTAGTCTTAGCTAGTGAATTATAGTTGAATTAGAAGAAAAAGCTCCTTATTTTGCCTCTGTATGTTTAAAATTGCTGAACTAGGTTAAAAGACACAAAGCTTCACATTTGGGCAGCTTACTGTATTTACAGTGAGCCTTCTCCCAAACACGGCTGGATCCATGAGGCATTACCCAGCTTCCTTGAATTACTCTATGCAGCGAAGAAGTCAAACAGATGACTAAAACTACAAATAATAAAAAATATTTTTTATTCCCATTAAAAATAGGCATATATTATACACAAGTGAATAAAATTCACAACAGTGACTAGAAAACTAGTATCACAGCAGCAAGCCCAGGAGCTTCTATGGAATGTCTGGGGGAACAACTAGTAGCACACAGCTCTGTGGCACATATATTACTCATTTTGCTGATGTAACACTCCAAAGCTGAGACATTACTATGAGAAAGGATAAAGAAGGCAAATCACTGGCAAATTGTGACCCAGAAAATAAGGTAAAGACCAGCTCCATTTCTTCTTGATTTCTGTGGAATAGATTTGTTGTTATAGGCAAGAGGGAAAGAATAGCAGCATTAGACGATAGAAAATAAAATAATAAAGCACATTAAGGAAAGAAAAGTATAATAGAATACACCTATAAACATGCTACTAGAATACAGAGGCCTACTGTATTACAGGAGCAGAAAGCATAAGGCACCTATCAGTCCTGAGGCTAAAAAGATTTTGATGGGACCTGCAAAAGAGGCCACTGCCTGTTTTTCATGTCAGAATACATGACTTTGGTGAATTCTTGCTAAGAAAGAACTCTTGTTTAAGAAGAAAAAGAAGCAGCAGCTCAGGTAATACCTTCTGGTTTCCAAAGGATGAAGGAATGACAAGGAAAGCCTTTGTCTTTACTCCAAATAGCATATTCCTTAGAATCACAGAATACTCTGACCCACAAGGATCATCAAATCCAGCTCTTAAGTGAATGGCCTGTACAGGGATTGAACCCACAATGTGTTATTAACACCATGCTCTGACGAACTGAGCTACTCAGGGTATCCAACTTTTGGAAGAACTTAAAAATAAATTTTGGTTTTTTTAGGGGACTACCATAGTAGTAGGGAAAAATGCAGTTGAGACTGGCATGAGTAGCCAGTCATTGGACTTTAAAGTCAGAGAATAAGACTGGGAGAAGATCATACATCCTTTCCACACCTAATGCAAAGGATGGAAATCAGATATATGACCATACATCATGGAATAAAAGAACATATAGGAGTGACAGGGAAGAGAATACAGCTGTTTGCAGCCTTCCTAGTCCAAAATCCATCATGCAGAGACACGTAAGACAACCCTAAAATGACTGTATACTGAACACTAAAACTCTTGTAGGCAAGAGGCTTGGAAAATGGAATGTTAAATTTGGGGTTACTAGTAAAGTCTGTGAAATAAGGTATTACGAGATTGACTAAAACCCACTAGAATATCAGTCATGACTAGAATACAGGAATTAAAGGAAGTAAATAAGACTGCTTATAAAAGAGGACACGTGGCAGCCCAGCTTCCAATGTTTCTGAGGTGGTCAATTACAGATATAAACCCCAAAATTGGCTCAAGACAGAATCAGTAGTAAAAATAGAAATGACAGTAAAGAGGCCTTTGAAAGACAATATTGAGGGTCTGTTACAAAATCAAGATAAAATTTAGACATGGATTGTATTAATTAAGATTACAGAAGAAGTACAGTGAAGGAATTTACAGTTGTGTTTTCTCAGACTGAAAAGCCTCAAGTATTCTTAAACCTATAGATTATAAAAGCTATGCTGCACTAAGTACTTGGAAGAGTTGCTTCTGAGGGTGGACAGCTGGGCTCAAGCAACGTCTTCCAGTCTTACATTTTTATGCTTATGAAAACACTTATTAAAAGCAGTCATATCTGATTACATTTTCTTTGTGTGTTTAGTGTGAAAGACATCCACTGTTGTTTCATGACAAGGTCGCAAGTCAAAGTCACAGTATCCGATGCTGAAACGACCCTGCAGAAATGAATAGAATTGACATGGTGAGCAAATACTGTAGAAGAGCTCATTCTAAGTTAATTAAAGAGGTCAAAGCATTTTTACCTGTGGTTTCTTAAAATAATCAAGACCCCTTCCAATCTTAATCATCCATCCATTGTTGAATCTGTTGTAAAAATTCACAAATTTGAATACTATGAGTATGTTGAATAAAAAATAGTTACATCCACATGATGCACAAGTTTCTTGTTTCAATCACAACTACTGTCACCGATACCTGTGTCAACCACAGAAGACACAGCATAAAGAGACAACTAATATTATGTTCACAATTAGACAACATGAAACTGTGGAGGCTGATTTTAACCAGTGAGGGCCACTGCCTTCTACTTTGTTAACCACAGCTGTAATTAATAGTTGTCTCAAAAGTTAGGGTTAAATAGTTTGACTTCCAATAACTGGAATTTGCTCATTTTTTATATCCCGCACCTGATTTCTCGATCATGTATTGAAGACGAAAATTCAATATTCAGTGTTACTCCATAATTCCTTAATGACTGTTGTATTTCTTCCAAGCCACTCATCTGCTGACTCCTCCCACTACCCTGTAAAAAATAAAAATAATGTGGTGGGGTTTGGATTGTTTTTTATTTTAATATATATTCACTTCTGGTCACCTCTCCCTAAACTCACCAACAAAAACTTTTTACAATCAAAGTAGATTTGCAGTTTCAAAGACAGGATAAAGAGCAGACAGATTACAGGTACATTTGCTAAGGGATGTGGAGGAGGAGCTTACTCTCAGCCCTTTGCAACTAGATATGAATTACTATTAAAAATAAGTGCAGTAATAGTTTAAATAAATGCAGTGCTAGTTTGAGAGATTACAGCTCGTTAAAGCCTCTAAAATGACAACTAAATACAGCTGTTGGAACAGCAAAAAACCCCATATCTCTGTAGACGCTTTGCTTTTGATGACATTTTCCACAACAAAACTTTCACGGAAACATCTTTTCGATTTAAGACTCTGCTTACCAAGAATTTGTTAGAGTTATCAGAAAACTCTGAACTTACAAAATTACTTATGTTCAACTATCACATTAAGTCTGAGTTTTCTGCTGAAATCATCAGAGACTGAGTCTAACAAGTTCTGGTAAGTAAGAACAAGTCTATATTTTTTTTTTTTTTTTGCATGTGGCATCACCTGCCACATCAGTAGAAACCAAAATCTAGACACTTACCTCATCATAGGAAGTGAGGAGGTGGATTGTTTTCACTTTGCACGGCCCCTTAATTAGCATCTCACAGAATCGTAGAAAGTTATACAACTGTAAAAGTTTTATTTAATTTAGTAACTTGGAATGTCTCTAGTAGCTACATCTGTATTAGTTACACCAAGTATCTACTTGCCTGATGAACGTGCCTAATGTACGGGTCCTCCACCCAAACTTCAGAAACAACCTCAGTAAGGTACTCATGGAAAAGCTTTTCATAGCCAAAACCCGTTGCGTTTTCCTCTATCCTGATTTGCTTATGGTATTTGCCATCTGAAAAGAAAGCAGGTCTCTGTTTAAGTAACGGTCAGGACATAATTTCTGTGTTAAAACACCTCACCCATCAAACATTTGCATAAGAACAGACATTTAAAAGCGAACGGGTACATCACAGCTCACAGAATCACAGAATGGGCTGGGTTGGAAGGAACCACAGTGGGTCATCTGGTCCAGCTTCCCTGCTCAAGCAGGGTCATCCCAGAGCACATGGTCCAGGATTGTGTCCGGACAGTTCTTGACTATCTCCAGCGAGGGAGACTCCACAACCCCTCTGAACAGCCTGTTCCAGTGCTTGGTCACTCACACAATAAAGAAGTTCTTCCTCATATTCAGGTGGAACTTCCTGGGCATTGGTTTCTGCCCATTGCCTCATGTCCTATTGCTGGGCACCACTGAGAAGAGCCTGGCTCCATCCTCTTGGCACCCTCCGTTTAGATTTTTATACATACCTTGTTTCTCTTTCTCGATGTGTTTTTTAATGTCTTCGGCTCTGGTCATGTACTCGGAGATCTTCTGCCGGTAGCGGTGCTTTTTTGCCTCATCCTTCGTGGCTGTAACCCATAAAACCACAGGGGCCATTAAAAAACTCTCCCCAGCACTTCCTGGCCCCGCTCTCCTGGGGAGACACCGCCAGCTGTCCCTCTCTTCTTCCCCGTGTGTCGACGGCCCTCTGCGCCCGACACAGCTCGAGTGTTCCTGGAACCGCCCCGACGCCTGAGGCCGGGGAGCCCCCTCGCCCGGTACCTTTCACCACCTGCAGCAGGAGATCGATGCCCTCCTGGTAACACACCAGCGACTCCTGGAACCGGGATGCCACGTCCAGCTCCACCGCCCGCTTCACCGTCTCTGCCCCGGCCCGCTCCAGCGCGGCGGTGCCATCGCCCCCCGACCGCGACATGGACCGGGACCGGGAAGACTACCGGGAAAGGGCAGGGAGCTGAGGGGGAGGATGGAGAGGGGCGGTGTCTCACCCTTGTCCTTCCGCCCGCTCGGAACTCAAGTGCCGCGGCGCTGGTGTCCGGCCGAAAGAGGGGTGCGCACCGAAATGGCCGCCGGGGCGGGCCGGGCGGGCCTGGGGCTCGCAGGAGCCGGGAGGGTGAGGATGGGGAAATCTGGGGCGGGATCCAGGTGGAGATCGGGGGCGATCTAGGGCGGGATCCAGATGGGGATCGGGGGGAATCTGAGGCGGGATCCGGGCTAGAGCTGGGGCACGCAGCCACTGAGAAGGTGGGGATCCAGGTGGGGATCTGAGCTGGGACTCGCAGCCGCCAGGAAGATTGGGATCTGTGTAGGGATCTGCGCGGGGAATGGGGCTTGTGGCTGCGTCGTCTGTTTGCGAGTATTCAGAGCTGTAAGGAAAGTGCAGACGAGTTGTGCCCTCCTCTCTTTGCAGCTGCTGGGAAAGAGGATGGAGGGGATGGTGTCCCCAGCCTGGGCTCGCTGTCTCTTTACCAGGTCGAGAATTCCAGACTCGGTATGTGCTTCAGTAATTGAGAAACTGAAAAAAGCGGGTGTTAGCCTGCTAAATTTTGTGTTTGCTGCGGTATGACAGATTTCCAGACACTCTGTGGGATGAGCGAGTTCACAGTGCACTGGGTGAAGAACTCAGAGCCCAGAGCGTTGCAGTGAATGGGGTTGCATCTGACTGGTGACAGGGCAACAGCGATGTTTCTCAGGCTTCAGTTCTAGGGCCAGGTCTGTTCAAAATATTTATCAATGATCTGGATGCAGGAGTTGATTGCACAATTAGCAAGTTTGTAGAGAGATCTAGACAGATTAGAACATTGGACAATCATCAGTGGCGTGAAATTTAGCAAGAATAAATGCCAGATACTGCACTTGGTACCAAGTGATACCGGGCACAGGTATAAATGGAGACAGGAGTGGCTGGAGAGCAGTCCTGAAAAAAGGGATCTGGGGGAGCTGGTGGGCGACAACTCAACAGGAGTCAGCAGGGAACACGGGCAGCCAGGGGGGCAAACCCCATCCTGGAGGGCATCAAACACAGCACAGCCAGACAGTCAAAGGCAGTGATTATCCTGCTGTATTCAGCATTGGTGCAGCCTCATCTCCAGTGCTGTGTGCAGTTTGTGTGAGCCCTCCAATTTAAGAAGGACATGAAGGTCTTTGAATGCATCCAGAGGAGGGCAACAAAGCTGGTGACAGGGCTGGAAGGCATGTCCTGAGAGGAGCAGCTGAGGACTCTGGCTTTGTCTGGTTCAGAGAGAAGGAGGCTCAGAGGTGACCTCACTGTTCTCTGCAGCTTCCTGAGGAGGGGAAGCCGAGAGGGAGGTGCTGAGCTGCTCTCCTTGAGATCCAGTGACAGTGTGCATGGGAATGGCTTAGAGCTGCCAGGTTCAGGGCAGGTTCAGACTGGACATCAGGAAGCGTTTCTTTACTGGGAGGGTGGTCAAACACTGGAACAGGTTTTCTGGAGAGGTGTTCAGCTGCCCAAGCCTGACAGTGTTTAAGAGGCATTTGGACAATGCCTTAATAATGTTTTAACTTTTGGTCCACCCTGATCAGGAGATGGACTACATGATTGTTGGTAAGTCCCTTCCAACTGAAATATTTTGTCCAATAAATAATTAAACCAAAGTGATGGGAAGTTTGACTTGCACTTTACATTTTTACATTTACATTTTTGCAAGATACCATCTTGTGTCAGTTCATACTTTTCCTTAAAAGCATTTTTAAGCCTGTGGAAAAATGTGCCATGCAGAGGCTGAGCACAGGCTCCCTGAGGAGATGCACATGAATTAGGTGTCGTGCTGGTCCGGTGTTGTCCATGTGTTTCTGTGAGTCACTATCAGCAAACCACTATAAAGATATATTTGACTTCATGTTATAAAATTTTGTTTCACTTTGTTGGTACTTTGACTGCCTGAAAAGAAAAACATGTAAGAATATTTACCAAGGTTGAAGTATGTTTTAGAGAGTAGCTGACTATAATAATAATTATCAGATATTTAGGAAAAAAACTTCTGGTTTTGTGAACTTTTCATTCTAGGTATTTCAGCCACGGCCTGGAGATCATGAGAAGTATGGAGGTGACCCTGAGCAGCCCCACAAAATCCACGTTATTACCAGAATAAAAAGTGTCATTGGTCGCCCATATTGGGAAAAGAAGATAGTACGTGACCTTGGGCTGGATAAAGTATGATTGTTGTTCTTTGTACTTGTTGTATACATCAGAAATGGAGCATTAAGGTGGTTGTTTTTTTAAGGACCTCAACTTTGCAGTCACAAAACATAATTACATTTATAGCAGCTGAGGGAAATGTTCATGGCAAGTGCGCTTTCAAAATATCCCTCTATGGTATTGTGCTGCACGCCTGAGGAGAACTTCACCCTGAGAATTCTGCTAAAATCATAGAAATAGATTTGTAAATACTTTGAATTCAGTTTTCTCTGTGGGTCATGTTATTTAGATATTGCAGGAAGGCAAATAAGACTCGTTTATCAATGAAAAGGCTTTGAAGGCCAAGACTAAGAGTTTGTGTCAAAGATGCATTTATCCAAGCTTTTCAGGCTAGCTGCACATTGTGCAAAGATTCATCTAGTCAGTGTTATATTACAGAGAATAAAATGTGTGCTTGATCCATTTAAGATGTAACTGAAACAAGCAGTTTTGCTCCTAAATTACTGTATTTACATTTATAGTGTTTTTAACAGCTGGAAGAAAAATGTATTGATAATGGAATGGGAATAAAGCTGAAATTATCATTTTACTGGAATCAAGTTTGATCCAGTTTTGATTTCACATTTTTATGTTCATGATGCATGATGGTTCTCTAAATCTTACATTTGCAATTGTGGTTTATATTTTTACTGATAGTGTGAAAAGTTCAGTGAACCAGAGATTTGGGATTTGACAACGCATTTGTAAAACCTGTTTTATCCTTTATGTAGGCGCATCAGCCGAGACTGCACAAAAATATCCCTTCTGTGAATTCCAAACTGAAAGTTATTAAACATCTGATAAGGTTTGTTAATTATTTGTTTATTTGGAATATTTAATGTAACTCTCTTCTAGTCACAGGACTTCACTAAGCAAACTCTTTTGCCTGTAGAATAAAGCCACTGAAACTACCCTACGGGTTGCCAACAGAAGAGGAAATACCCGGCACCTTTCTTACACGCAACGGAGAGCTTGTCATTAAACGGCGTCTGAAACCTGTGGAGCAGAAAGAAATTGAGTCATAAGGTGTGCTGGTTGGATTTAGATTCTATAAAATAAATACTTTAAATTCTGAGTTAAGAGTTTGTGTATGAAATGTAAGAAAATTCTTAACCCTGTCTGGTATGAATGGCAGAGGTGACACTTAAAGAATTGTATGTGTACAGATAGGAAATTCAATGTTGTTAATAGTTGCCTAAAATATTAAATGAATTATAGGCTGTCTGTGTTTTAATTTTGTGACTAGATTGCTGCAGTTTATGGCTAGCTGTAAGAGAACTTTATTTATAAAGTCAGATAAGCAGAGAAGTGAGTAGAATAGAGGTAGCTAATGATGTTGAGGATGTTTCCCAGCTAACAGTAAAGGTTTACAGTGATGATGCAGGACTTCACTTTCACTGCATAAAGGACAGAACTGGAATTGAAAAGCCCTCTGCTTAGTAGTCACAGGAGAATCGACTGGCTATCCACGGAGAGTGTCAGGCATTTGGATGACTTGGTTATCCAGATCTCAGGCTTGTTCCTTAGCAAAGAATCTCTCATCTGGCCTCTCCTGTAACTTAAAAAGTACATAAACTCTCCATTTGGACGTAACAGGAGTTATTCATATCTTGGTACGTTGTATAATTTGTCTTCCAGGAAACATGCTATCTCACTTCATATATATTCCCTGATCCTAAATGTACAATAATAGCCTAAGAGCTGCAGTTTATGTGAACGTTGATGCTTTTCCTGTTCTAAAATTGCAAACTTTAGAAGTCTGGAGCCCCTGAAGCATGACTGTGACACGAGTTAGGAATTACGGGCTGCAAGCTTGTAAAAGACTACTCTGTGTGTAGTTTTATTTACGGCTGCTGTATCAAATGATAAAGTAGTTTTCATTCCAGCGAGCCTAAATTCTGTGGTTTAATGCACTGTGAGCCTCTCCACACTAGACACACTGAAAAGGAGTTAATCTTAATGACTGTATGTTGTGAGAAGATCAGAGGGATACAGTCGCTGAAAATAATTGTTTATCCTTTCCGCCTGCTTGCAGAGAAGGGTAAACACCAGTAGGAGTTCGAAGGAGTAGACAGACATATCAGTACAGGGAGATAAAGCTGGAAGCACGGTGCACAGAAGGAAAAGGATAGGTTACAGTGGCATTGAAGAGTGTAATGGCCCCTACAGGCAGGCTGAAGGCAGAAATTAAAATTTCAGCTGAAATATAATAGCATGGAAGAAGTGAAGCAGATAAATGAATGATGCTTTTCTTCCCTCCCTCTCTCCCTTCCTCTCTCCCTCCTTCCTTCCAGCATCTGCACAGTGTCTTGTGCTGCAGTATGTTAGAACTGCAGTCTCTGCAAGGTGTTGATCACGTTCCCACGGGGAGGTGCTTAGTACAAGCTGGAATTTGAACCCTTTTGAAGGGCGTGTGTAGTGCACCCAATGTGCAGGGCATGCTTGAAAGAGATGGCACAAGTACTAGGGCCCAGAAGATGATCTTGGATCAAATGGATCTTGTTGCTGGTGGATAGCAAATAATAAGACTTGTGCCAGGATTGGAGTTCCAGAGCACCAGAGCCAGGATGGCTCAGCCTTACCAAGCAGGTTCGGGTTCGGGTCCACGGCACTGCAGGCTGGTGAGCCTCTGGCAGAGGACGCGCTGCCGGTTCCATCCCACATGGTGTGTGTACGGATACAGATATGGATATGGATACGGATAGGGATGTGGATCTTTTGTTCATTGCACAGTACTGATGCTACAGCCCACAAAAGTACTGCGGGGTATTCCAGAGGGAATGTGTTAATGAACAGGCTTGCTTGGTATCGTGCAGGGCTTCAGAAGTGTGTGATAAACTACCTAAGTTAAAGCAGAGCTAATAACTGCTTCCCAAGTACAGAGAAGGGAACATAGTACCTGTTATTTCTGGAAAAGATTTAGGTACAAGAGCTGCTTTCAGATGTCTTTAATTGACAACCTGACAGTTTTAATGAAAAAGGAAATTGTATTTCCTTAAAATGTTCTGTTTGGATGTTTCTGAAATGGTATTTCTTCCAAGGTCACAAGTGTCATACAGTCAATCTGCTATCCCAAACCTTCTCTGTATAAGCACACATCCTCTAAAGATTTTCTCAAGTCTAAAACCTGAACCAACAGGGTGCACAAACATAGTATATGTCCACATCCTTTCATTAATGAAGCTTTGTCAATGCTCTGTGTAGATCTTTATGAAGCAGGGAACAAACAGACTTTTTGTACAGGGAACAGACTGACATAAGATGATCACAAAATTTGGGTTGGCAGGTACCTCATAGGTCTCTAGTCCAATCTCCTGCTCAATGCAGGGCCAGTGCTGACTAGGTTACTCAGTAGTTTATCCAGCTGGGTCTTGAAAACCTCTGCATCTTGAAGACCTCAGGGCAGGGACAGCTCTCTGTACGTCCTGCACTGCTGTTTTGTACTGCTGTTAGACAGAGGTATTGGCAGATAAGATGCAAGGCAGATAAAATCTTGTTAAGCAGTGTTATAACTTTCATGCAACAATAATCTGCTGCTTCAGAAACTGCAGGCACAGGTGAAAAATCTGAATATTCTCCTGAAGTAAGCTAAAAAATGGCAAGAGATAGGTCGCAGTTTGGATTATTAGCAGTGTTATCTTTTAAGTTACTTTTTTAGCCTTAGCTGAAAAAAAACCCCGTTGGAATCTTGTACTTGTTTCTGGCTTCATTGCTCCCCCCCATTCTTACTATTTCTGAGGGAGAAATCCAGGTTGTTTTTAATTAGAAGCAAAGTATGAATCAGTGACACTAATCGTTATTCAGAGATCTCAATATCCAATTCTCTTATAAAAATTGGCTCTTGCATCCACATTATTGACATAGCTGTGTGTTGTGCCAGTATCCAATTTGTTGTAGTTCTGGATATTGTTAGCTTCTGCATTATCCCACCTGAAATGAGAGTGAAAGAAACACATAAACAGAGGTGCTACTTCATTAGTAAATAAGCAAACAAACAAAAATCACAACTGAACTGCACTGCTTTAGTTTATCCTCCCTTTTCACCAGGATTGTTGGCTGTAGTATTAACATTTCCAGCTCTTTTTGTCACAGAGGTATTCCTTTTGTGTTTAAAGTTCGTGAGGAAATCATAATTTCCTCATTTACATCCAGACTTGGTGATCATTGTCCCCTTGCTGTATTTTGCTAATGTCTTCAGTTTTATGACTTTCCTTGTGTGCATATTCCTTCATGCCTACCCACATTAATAACCTCAGACATGTTACTACTGTAGTTGGACTAAAGGGACCCAACTGTAGGGACTGCTTCAGGGTAATCAGTGTTTAAGAATATAACTATGTTTCCTCCGGAGAGAACCAGACATTTTCAAAATTAGTGGGTTCCTCCTTCAGAGTTGCCAGGATAGGCAACCAGGATAGGTTGATTTGTAGATGGTGGTAACACGAACAGAGGGACTGGGATGTGTTTAGTTTTCTTCAGTGATTGGTTTTACAGCATTATCGTGCTTGGCTTTACATGTGTGAAGTGTTTCAAAGCTGACAAAACTCTGCCTTTGAGGTCCTGTTCCTTTGTCTAAGATGGGAATTTTTTCTGAATTTATAAATCTGCATAAAATCTCTGTGTCTCATGGTAAGTACTCTTCAGTGTCCCATGACTTGTCAATCTTACAGTACTGTTTATCAGCCTGAAAGTGAGACAGCAGTATCAGCATACCATAAACCCCAACCCTACTACTTATTTATCCCACTATTTATCCAGAGATCTTCATTTCTTACAGGTTGCTTGTGTTCATTTTGATTCTTAATCTCATGATTTACCTCTTTTGTGACTGTATAGAGAGGAAGCAAGTGCAGCTCAAGGTGCAGGTAAAGCCAGCAGATGTGTGAAGGGCAGACTGTTGGGGCACTGAAGAGGAATTCCTGCCTCACTTCCTTGTCTTTCAGAGCCTTAAAAAACCAACACAGCTGCTGTTGTAAAGGTGACAGTGTGCAGAAAGCAGCATGACTGCTGCTTCAGCGTTTCCAGGTGCGAGGTGCCTGCTCCTCTCCTCCCCAGCTGCATCAAGGGTGGGAAAATCTGTTTCCTCTAAGAATCTCCCCTGGATCTCTGCCCCAGTCCTCCTTCTTCTCCTCCCCTTATCCTCTTGTATGGGATAGTAAAGCAGAAGTCTGAGGGGGCTGGAGCTGTTACAAAAGCAATGTGTATGACATGTTTAGGGATTTTATGGATAAGGATACAACTTGGCAAAAAAGTGAGGCACAAATGTAGGCATGAATAATGAAGCAAGATCCCCCACTAGCCAGGCCCCTGTGGTGCATAAAGTGTAATTAACCTGATGATGTGTAGCTGCAGCCTGCAGGCCTCCATGCTCAGCTAAAAAAAGTGCTTTTTGAAACAAGACTTATTATCTAGATATAAAATAGGAACAGATAATCTGTTCATTCCCAAGGGAGTGCTGGGAAGCAATCAGTGGTTTCACAGTGCAAAAGCAGTCTGCTCATGCCCTGACACTCACTGGGGTCCTTCCCAGGTTCTGGCAGCTGACAGTCTGGTCAGCGTTGGCTTTAGTGTGGCCACAGAGTTGGCTGAAAAGGCTTAGTGGGTTGCCTTTCAACAGGGCCCCTGCTGCTCTTCTAACTCTGCTTCAGATGAAGGATGAGATTTGTGTTTTCAAGAAGGTTGACTATAACTGCACTAAACCAAATGTATTTCCAGGGTCACCCCAGCTGTCCTTCAGCACTGCCCCAGCATGTGACTCTTGAAAAATAATACCAGCAATCAATCACAACTTTTGCAATGTTGGCATGGTATTTCTCCATGTCCCTCAAACATTTTTCTGCAGTCTTCTCTTGAGGTACGAAATCCTACAGCATGACATGCATGACATTGCCCATCATTTTTAAAATCCAAACCCAGTTTTTATAAGTCATTATGACTGAGCTGACATTTTGAATCCTTCTGACTCTATTTAGAGAGAAACAATGATACAATGGACTAATTTTGCTGAAGGGTAAGTGCCCTAGAAATCAATATAAAAGATAATATAAAAGACATTTTATTCAAATATAGAGGGCAGTTCTCTAGCATGCAAACTAAAAGGTGATTCTTTTAAATCTAAACCTTTGGGTGGAATAGTCCCAGATCTAGGGCCTTTTAATTTAGGACTATATTGGAGAAATGTTTAGAAGCTTGGGTCGTGAGGGAAATCCTCTTAAGGAAGGTAGAAAAGCAGATTTGATGGCAGGGTTGGATGCACCAAGCAGACCTTCATTTTCTCTGTGATGATCTTAAATATCATCTCAAAGGCAACGCTATTCTCAACGTAAATTTATGTGCTCAAGCGGGATTTGTGTTGGTTGTGGGAAAATCTGCTTGCATGGCAATGACTGACAGAGACCGAGATGGGTAATAGGCATGAGCTTTTATGTGAGTGTAAAGGGAGATGAACAGCTGAATTAGTGCCTACCTACACAGCTCAGACCTTCTGTTTTCACGGTTGGCTCCAGAGCTCCAGTTGTGTCAACATTCAGAAAATTCCCATAGCTCTCCGAACAACCTAAGAGCGGTATTTACAACCAGATGTCAGGCCAGCGCAGTGCATGGCTCATGCTGCTAAAATGCTTTCAGATCCATGACTGAAAGCCATGGCATCACTCAGATACTCGTGCAGGCATTTGTGCTGGCAGGTGTGGTCATGGTACATCTTGTCAGCTCTGGAGAGGATTACCTCTCGGTCATGCCAGCCTAAAGCCACTGTGGAGCTTGTGAGGTGAACTGGGGCTTTGTGCACAATTCATCTCCCCTAATTTTAGCTTACCTAAAACTTAGATGTCTAGTCTAAGCTTGTGACTTGGGCTGCCCACGTGGCCAATAGAGAAAGGCACCTCAAAAATGCGGTTTTTCTACTCCAAAATAAAATAAAAAAAAATCAGTGAGAGTCAAGAGAAATCCTACACTACTGACTGGCTGCAGCTTGCTTTTCCATAGCTATCATAAACAAGAAAGTCGAAGACAAACATCCTTCATTTACATCATTACAATTTATCTGACTTGCAGATTGTTTGTCTTGCAATTTATCTGCATTTATCTGTTGTCAAAACATGCTATTGCAGGAGGGAAAACATACAAACAGCAACTGAGAGGAATAATGCTAACCCGATCCCAGCAGTTAATGGAAAACAGTTTGGTACAGTGAATTATTTACAAGAATATTAGACAAACATCACAGACAGACCTGACATGTTTGCTGCAAGATGTCTCCCCAACTTCTCACTGCACTTCCAGGAGACAAATGGGCTTTTTATCTGCTGGTGGAGTTCTGGAGCAGTTGGCTCAGTGCACTCTTCCCATACTCGCTGGTCATACAAGAAACAGAAACGCCTAACAGCTTGTTGTGTATCCTTCCAAACACAACAGGGTTTCTGCTTTTACAGCACAAACATAATTATTATTTAAAAAAATGAAATACCTTTTAATTTAATTTAAGGCCCCACTGCTAACAGCTTGGAACTAGGAGGAGCCTTGTCTGAAAACAACTGCTCCCCTTCAGTTCTTGGAAGCAATAACTTGCTGACAATGAGAAAATGTGAACCTCCACTTTTGGATGGAATGAAGTTTTCACAGGCAAAGATCCAGGAACAATAACATGACCAGAGCTGCAACTGCTGAGAATTCGGATATGCAGAGACTGTGCCAGGTCTCTGTTGTTATCCCCTCTTGTACAGAGACAACAAAGGTCAACAACCCTAAATTAGCAGCAGTGTGGATTTCAAAGCCACTGTAGCTGTGCAGCAGTGAGGAAAAAAGCCACTGGGTGGCAGAACTCCCCACAGCAGAATCCATCCTGACCTGCTTCTCCCCCACGGTAGATTTGTGAGTGTGAAATGCTGTTTCACTCTTTCAGCAGCTCTTTCACATTTTAAGCTGGGGGATTCGTCCTGTATCATTGCACTGAGAGATTCAATTCTGTAAGTTTTTCCTGTACTGTTGGTACCTCCCATAGAGAACCAACTGCAAAAAGTCACAGCAGCCCATGTATGGGGCTCTTCATGTTCGTGATTGTGAGTGAGTGTAAAAAAGGTTGAAACAGAGGGAAGTACACCTGGCAGAAAGGAAAATAGAAGAGATATGGCTCAAATGAAGTGACATTAAAAAATCTGAAAATTCAAAATACCACTGAAGATGATTCACCAAAGAGTAATCTCCAAATGGTCTCCTTATTGCTAGGGGAGAAACATAGAGGATGTACCAGTTTGCTTCTTCTACATCATAGTAATTGAGGCAGGTTGGTAGATCTCCCGTGTTTCCAGAAATTTTTGCTTAGTCATATATGCATACAGGAAGTGTCACATGTCATGGGAAGTGTTTTCCTCAATAAACCTCTATTTGGACTACTGGGGAAGGCTGCACTCCTGAGAGGACAAGCCATGGGTCACAGGAGCTGCAAGAGGCTCTGTCACTCCCTGTGATGGAGAGGAGGTGAGGTCCTGCCCGGAACCTGTGCCCTCAGCCCACCCCTCCTTCTACAGCACTCACAAGGGGACCTGAGCACTTTCTCCTCTGACAGCTGTAGCATCAACCAAGATTTTGGGGAGGGGGTGAGAAAGTGCATCAATGCTTGGGACAAGGCAGCAAAGCATGCCAGGCTTACCCAGGAGGGCAGCGTAGTCTGGCAGCACAAACATTGAGTACATGGGGCGGTTCTTCCTGACCATGCAAAACAGCTTGAAAATCAATTATCCATCACTAACACACATGAAGATATAAATATATCTCACTGCTTGCCGAACAAACACAAAGAAATTCTTTCCAAGCTGATAGGGTATTTCTCTTGGTTGCGTAGGCAAAGTGACAAAAGGAGTCACATCTCTTTGCATAAGAGGCCCCAATGGCAGCTGTCCTGCTCCAGCACAAACCAGCCTTCAGCTGTTCGTGAAAGACTTGTGACTTCATGAGACACTCACACTTCTGCTGCTGTTTCAAACATGTCTTTTACAGCATCTTGGTAACTTCCTCCAAACTTCCTCAAATTCCAATGTTTAATTCAGAAAAAATAAAATCAGTAATGTTCTGTAATGTTAAAATTAGTAATGCTCAGTGCTGTGCTCCCACCATGAATGCCTTTATTCCCTGGCCATATTCTGTATACCAACCTCCTTTGTCACACCTGGGCAGTTTTGCCTGAATCCCCCAAGACTCTTTATACTCAGCTAGCTCTTCAGCCTCCATATAGAGCAATCTGACAGTCCTGCTACTGAAATATTTTGTGTATGTGGTAAGTGTAGGCCACCTACCTATAGAATATACAGCAACAGCCATGATGGTCCATTCAGTATGTGTCCAGGCACTATCAGTAAGGAGGTGTTCACTGGTCACAAGAGTCGCAAGGGAGAGACAATTCTGATTTACCCAGAAGCCAGGTTGCAGGACACTGGATCAGATCTGGTATCAGCTCCTCTTTACTCTTCTGTGTCTGGCAGGAGGGAAGGACTGCCTCTGTCAATTAAATGCTTCAGGGCAGACATCTGTGGGATAATCTGGTCCTCTGTATGGCCCTTGTGACTCGGGCATGCAGACATGTCTTGTAAGAGATTGTCCCCATTTCTAAGGAAAAGGTACAAAAAATATGCTTCCAGGATTTCTATTGTTATGACAGGAACTCCTGATTTCTGTAACCATGCACATATCCAAACCTCTCCTGAACTTCATCAGTTTCTTGATCTGAATCAACTGAGGGGTGCCTGAATAGGTAGGGAATTCATAAAATAAAACCTGATTTAAAGGATAGAAATGAGTTAAATTTCTCCTTGCCTGCCTTGCAACAAGATACTTTTCCAGTTCTTGGGGTGTTTGTGGAAGGCTGAGGGCTGCAGCAGTAGAGTCAGGTTAGCCATGTCCTCTCTGTGTGGGTTTTTTCATGCTTTTGAACATTTCTCCTTATTGCTAATTAGCTTAATAAGGCATGGGTAAGAAATGAGTGATCCTAGTTATACTTTCAGGGGAGAAACTAGGCTGACATAACCTTCCCAAAGCAATTAAGCCAATTTAAGCTCCGGGAGGTTACCCAGCCCATGTCAGGAAGGCAGGATGCTCTGAGTACTGGGAGCTGGTCCCTTGTCCCAAGGCTGCATGATGGCCTCAGAGGGCAATGCAGGGGCTTGTAGATGATTGAGACATGTGAGGAACTGGCAAAACTTCATGGATGAGAGAAACAGCCTAGAAAGGTAGGCTGCACCTGAGCTGTAACATAGGCAACCTGTGTCACTGGAAATTGAAGAGCTTCTAGAGGAGCATTTCCATTAGAAGCAGGGGAAAGCTGACAAATGCAGAGGACTACCCAATCTGAATTGATGTGATCTACAAGGTGGACATGGCTGACATTCAGTTTACCTCTGAAAAAAACAGGAGGGAAATAAACAGCACGATCCCAATAAATGAGACAGACAAAATAGACAGGATACTGTGTCAAGGTTTTGGCATATGCAATATTAAGCAATGAAGTGAGGGCAAACTTAAAATTCTTCCTACACAGTTGCTAAAGATTTCAAAATCAAGCCAGGAGAATGCAAATTCTTGGCACCAGGTAACACCAAGATAGCGGGCATTTCAGAGACTTGGGGGCTAGAAAACCAACAAGATACTACATTGCCAGCCTCCGGAATTACAGAGTAGGATGCAGAGATGGATGAGTGATACTGTATGTGAAGGATAAAAGTGTCACAGTATAAAAATATTACAGGAAAAGAGAAGCATCCTGAAAATGTGAGTGGAAATTCCAGTTGCTATTAATAAAAATGCTGTAGTAGGACTGTACTGTCAATCTTTTTCGAATTCAGTGAGTGTGGTCAGTAGGGCCAGAGAAGTAGTAAATATAGGATGGTGGTACATGTGGGAGCCTGTGTATGGGCTGGATCAGTGCCTTGTCAGGATGAGATGCAGAAGTGGAATTTTTGGTTGCAATAGATTCCTGCTTCCAGGAAAAGCCGGTTCAGGAACCCACAGGAACAAACACTAGAGAGTGGCACAATGGCTTCGTTTGAGGGGTGTTAGTGGGAAGCTGCTCTGAGGTTACAATCCTACAAAGTGATCACTTTTAACATTGAAATGGGAAAAAGCAGGTCATGTGCATCCAATATGGGTGTATTTGGTTTCAAGGAAGACAAGTAAATAAATTGAGGCAAGCATTAGAAACAGTCACTCCCAACTGCAGCACTGGCTCCACAGGCATCCTTGGGATCACAGGCTGGTGCCCATCCTGAGAAATATAGGAGAGTGTATTAAAGATGAGTGGGGTGGTGAATAAACCTAGTCAACTGAGAGACAGTCAGCCCAGCTCCCATAAGGAGCAAACCTGCCTTGGTTCCTGATGGTGTTCTGGGATCATGTCAGCAACTGCATAGATAAAGGCCAGTGGGTGAAGTATAGCTGGGTCTTCAAAAAGGAATTTATGAAGATTCAAACTGGCATTATCAAGGAATCTAGATGTGTCTTTGCCACCTAGGAAACTGTGGAGGCCAGTGGCACCAGCACATTCCCAAAGCAACTGGATGGATTCATGGACAGCAGTGCCATACAAAGGGTGGACATGTCTCCCACCACCTGTGTTAAACAGCTGGGAACGCTGAGGGCAGAGGAGGAAAATGGACTGTAGAAAGCAACCAAGTTCTCCTGCTGCTGCTGGAGACAGACTTTGGGATGCCCAGTCACCAGTATCACCCACACTGCATGTCCTATAGACATCTGACACTTCTGGTTTAAAGGGGGGGTGGTGTTGCCTTTTCTGGCCTGGATAAAACATGAGACTTTTTTTATTAGGAAGAAAGTCACATAAGATGAACCTAATATTTTGGGGTGCTGTGCTCAGGGTGCCCAAGGCACTAGAGAAGCCCTGTCCTGTGAACAGGTTGCTGGCCAGGAAATCCCAGGCCACTTTTTCAATGAGTAACGAAGCAGAACAAACGCAGTTCTTCAGCACTGCATTGCTGTGCTGACATTTCCCTTTGTTTTCTGCATATCGCAGGGAGAGAGACATGGACACGTGGCTCAAACTGATCCAACTCCAGCGTTCACAGTCAGCCATCAGAGCAATCTGTTCTACCATGTGGCTTAGGGCTCTGGCCCACGGGGACTTGGTTTTGATAGTGGTTTCCTGCTGCTTCAGTTACTGCTGAAACAGGTTGTTTAATTGGTCCCTCTGCTTGGTGTCTATGAAAGACAATCATTGCAGCCCCAGACTCCAGACATAACCCTACCTGAGCCATGGAGGCATCAGCCCATACCACCTGCACCTTAACAAGTTGATGAGAGAGAAAGCTTGTTACCTCACATTTGCTCTTTATTGTAGGAAACACATCTAAATACATTTGCCAGTACTGACATCAGTTGTGAAAACAAAACACAGGACCCTAACAGAGAAGGTTTTTCTTTCCTGTCTGTAATTTTTTTTTGATTTGCTGCCTGCTGATTCTGATGCAGCGATGTTAGCCTGGAAAGGTCCTTAAACATTACCTATTGCATTTCCCCTCTCTACAGCAGCATGGCGATAAAGAGAATAGGTTTAAATTAGATATTAGGAAGAAATTCTTTACTGTAAGGCTAGTGAGGCACTGGGAACAGGTTGCCCAGAGTTGTTGTGGATGCCCCATCTGTGGAAGTGCTCAAGGCCAGACTGAATGGAGCTCTGAGCTCTGGTCTGGTGGAAGGTGTCCCTGCCCATGGCAGAGGAGTTGGAACAAGGTGGTCTTTAAGGTCCCTTCCAATTCAAACCATTCTGTGATTCTTTATGATGCACAGCTACTTTTACATGTTGGTCTTGGCTGTTCTTTAAAACACCCAAGGAATGTTGTGTTACTTCATCATCTTGAAAGTTTTTCGAAGTATCCAACACAAATCTGCTGCCAAACTCACTGCTACTTACCTTACTCTCAAGAGGAAGGGGAGTATGTAGATGATTACTCTTAATTTGTTTTACATATTAGAAAATCGTATTCTGTGTGCTTTTTCTCTTTTCTGGAAAAAAAAATCTAATTCCTTATTTCTTACAGGCTGTACTTTCCATCTGAGTTGTGATTGTCCTGAGGATATTGTCCTCAGAACATCTGAGACAAGAGTTACCCCAGGTGCTTCATACACAGTGCTATGATAAAGATAACCCCCCAAATGGGATTTTCCCTCTTTTTATTTCTTTTCCCCTCCTCCACTGGCATCAACTTCTTTTTTTCCCACTAGAACCCTCAGCCCTTTCCTTGGGATTGTCACCTGCCCACTACACCTCCTCAAGTGTGTTGCACCTCTGTTTGATTGATTTCAGTACTTTGGTTCCTAACCGTTTTTCATAGTTTCTAACTATCAGTGGAAGAGCTGACATTGCCGCTCAGTGTAGCCCATGGGTTTGATAGCTCATATCCTCCATTAATTTTACAACCAAAAATTGAGACAAACTGGTGTAGAACAGACCCGTGTGGCTCCACTTGAAATGTCTCACCAGTTTGGCCAGAAGCTGCTGATAACCAGTGCTTTTTGTACTTAAGGCCCTCCACATATGAGGGCACTTCAAATTTCTGCTGAAAGCCTTATTGAGCTCGTGATGCAGCACAACCATGGCTTCTCTTTTGGCCACTTCCCCAGTTAGATAAAGACTTTGGTTGGTCTGAGGTGGTTTTTCCCTACCAAGTCAGGCTGCCAGAACCCTCCTAAGTCTTGCTGCTTTGTTGTCCCCTAGGATCTCTTGAAGCAACCATTCAATCCTTTAACATCTTCCTCAGTGTTGTAGACAGATGTCCTGGTATGTGATTCCCTGGAGCTTTCTTTCCCCTCTATTTTGTCTTTTCTCTTTCCTTACCTGAGCTTTTGCTTTTGTCTGATATGTTACTTGATATTAAATCATTTGCTTTGCAAGATGTCTGTTGTTTGGTTTTTTTCAGTGGGCTGTGGGTCAAAAGGGTGACCAAGAGCACAACTGCAGCTGCCTTGTCTACACCAGGCAGAAGAGTAATTCCCAGTAACGTGGACACGGGTGACTAGAAAAAGATGACAGGGAACAGCAATCTGAACTCACTGTTTATCAGGAAAGCTTTTGCTCAAATCTTAAGGCAGCATGCCAGTGTTAAACTTTCCTAATTATTTACTCCTTCCTACGAATTTATCAAGTTTCAACTCATTTTCTGCAGAGGTTTTCTGTATTCACTGCAAGGTGCTGATACCCTAAAACAATATTTGCAACAAAATATGGAATTCCCATAACTGGGAATTTTAAATGGACTTTAAAAATAAATAATCCTTTGTGGTGATGCTGCACAAGTCAGCAGGCAAGTCTGCAGGCCCTTGGATGTTGCTAGGATAACTTGAAGCAGCAGCTTCATGGTAACACTCGTGTAAATTGGAGTCCTGAGGAGCTCACAGGTCTGCAGGGATGGCAGCACCAGCAGTGGTGACAAGGAGCTTCCTGGCAGGGAAGGGAACCAAGCATGAAGGCAACCAAAGGAAGCTCCACTCTGGTTCACCCTCCGAACTCAAACCCCAACTTTGTACACATAGGTAGCAATGAGATTTCCTGCCCCATTTGAAGTTTATACTGCTCTACCAAAAATGCAGTCATAGGCTTTATGTAAGAGTTTTATATAACACAGAGGTTTACATAACATAATGCACCAAAGGCTTCATCCTATGAATTTTACCTAAGCTATGTCAAGTAGAGGGGATCAAACCACATGAGAGGCTTCATACATTCTATTACAAAGTAACAATTTTAGAAAAATTATATTAATATAGTGCAAAATTCACTAAAGACTAAATAATATATAGTTCAATGTCTGTGGTTGCTCAACACTGAACTGTTTACTGTAGTCTTAAAAAAAAAATATAGTAATATTTGAGACATCTTAGAGTTCCTTCTGATCTCCAGAGGTGATAAAATGAGTTTGCTTGTCAATATGTTAATGATAGAGAATCCTTGCTGTGACAGAAAGCAGATGAGTGACCGGCAAGACAAGGGGCACAGCATTAAAATTGTTCTGCCGGCAAAAGCTGTCTCCAAACCAGCTCTCATGCTTCCTGTCTTGACCCTGCCTGGCAGCCCAGGCACACACACAGCACATCCCTGTGCTGCCAGGCAGGGACTGCCAGGCACATCACTTCTACATCAGCAAAGGTGACAGCTGGCAGAAAGGTGCTCTGATACCTCCAAAATGGAAATTCAAAAGGCTAAATGTGAACGTCCTTATTCCCTTGTTCACAGGTTTGGGTCAGTGGCCGGGCTCAGGCCTAGCTCTTCTCACCTATCCAGTCTCCAGCACCATATTCCTCTCCTTGTTCTCAAACTAAGTTTTAGACCCATTCTAAGAGTACCAAACCGGGTTATTTACTCAAGTTGTAGGTTGCTACCCACTGAGCCCCATGAAATTGAAAAAAACAACACTGGAATTTAACATTTATCTTTATTTTCTCTCTTATTCTTATAATTATTCTCAGTATCATTCTAATTATTATTCTAATTAAACATAAATTGGCACCCAGAGACCCATCCACATAGAAGACCACTTTCAAACAGACCTTATAAGCCCAGAGCTAATTCACTCCTATTAGAAGCTGGGATACCTGGCAGAGGGATGGATGCTGAAATGCTTTTAAATTTGGAGGAAACTCAACATAAGGGAGCCAAAGATAAAGCAGGAAAGGGTGTGGGGTTTTTTACCAACACTGTTGCTGTGATACAGCTCCTGGGTGGGTATGTATGGGGCTGACTCCTACTGAGGGCTGGTCTCTAATGGAAAGGTGTTTTGCATGCCTGCTGTGGTGCTTGCAGTACTTTCTATATAGAGGATTTCCCCTATGTGAGGCTGCTTTTCACCCTTAAGAGGTCCCCAGCCCCACCATGGCCACGGACTCCAAGGCTTGATAGACTAACCAAATCATGTGTAGCATTGTCCCCCTCAAGGTTGGCCACAGGAATACTCAGCTACTGCAGAGATCAAAGGCTCGGTGGTCTCTTCATTGCCCCTTGGCCAGCAGCATCAAGGGGAGGGAAAATTTTAACTCAGGGACTTCATCTCCTGCATTGGCCATGGAGAGGGAAGGAGGTGGATGGAGGTGATGGGAAGAGCACAGCTGATGTCCAGGGAGAGCTGCTTGTGTGCTTGCGTCTGGGGGATGCATGAACAGCCCTGGGTTCAGCTCCGAACAGGAAGAGTCACATTCCTCACTCAAAATTTAAACACTGCTGGTCTGTCCCCATCTGCTTCTCAAAGGCCCCAAGCTTGTGGTATCTCATCCCTGTGGGTTCCCTGGAAGGCAGTGCTGAGCTCGCCCATTGGTGAGTGGGGAGCTGGGATTTGCTGAAGTGAGCAAAGTGCTGTTGGCAATGCTCCCAGCATCGGTCCTGCCAGAAGACCTGCTCTGGGTACTGTGATCACTGCTAGTCTGTGCAGAGGAGAGGCTCAGTGGTGGGGCGGGTTTATGAGCTAGAACCCATTTCTCTTGAAGTACTGGGCTCGCCTAATCACGCTGTTGACATAGTTGTTGTCTCTGCTGCATGGGTCTTCCTCATAGACCTGGAGATTGCCCATTCTCGCATGGTAGGTGCAGATGCCCCCTGGAAAGAGTTAAGAAGGAGTTGTTTTGGGCTTGAAAGTAAGAAATAGAGTTTTAAGAGTAAAAATTTCTAGTTGAAAGGGCCATGCGTCTCATCAAACATACACAACTGCTTGGCAAAGTGCTAACTGTGCATTGTTGTTGAAAAGTGACTGATTTTGTAAAATCTTTGTTGCTACAGTGAAGGAACCCATGATTCTCTCCAAATGCAACTGAAAATGGCATACTGTTTCCAGAAAAGTGTGTAATCTAAAAAGGCAGTATCAGAGCAAGGATGGGAGAGTAAATTATAGCATAGAGTGAATGAACCACCATGAAGATAACATGGACTATAAGGACACCTGGATCCCAAGATTCCTGGACACAACAGCCTGCCACGATAAGCTCATTGTGTTGTGGTGCCTCAATTTCTGCCTCAGTTTCCCCAGTGGCTTGTGTTCAGTTATTTTCTACCTTATTTATCTGCCTGACAGCTATTTCACATTGCTGATCTGCCAGTTTGGAATTGCCTCTTTTAAATTAGAAAAATGGGTTTGGTTGGGGTTTTTATTGTAAGACATGCTGCAAAATCTGCTAGACTGATGCTCTTTTTCCTTTAAAAGTGACACCAATGAGTGCACAATACTCTCAGTGTATCCCTTTCTAGTATACAGCCCATTGTGTACCTCTCAGCTGCCGATCCCAGGTCCAGGTAGGATGTCTTGTCCGTACTTCATTGATTGAAAGAACCAGAATATTTGAGCACTGATTTATGTGTTCTTCACTATCCCACACTGCATAAGGCTGCTGTAGCTGCCTGCTGATCTAGAAAAGACAAGCAAGAAAATGGGTTTCCCTCTGAATGCAACCCCTGCTGTAGCTTCTTCCTCTTCATTGGCCCCCCAGGCTGCAACTCATTGAAGTGACCTTATTCCAGACACTTAAGAACAACCTTTGATTTTAGTGCCGTTTTGAATACAGAACAGTCATTTGCTAAGGTAAGGACCTTGGGTATGCATTAAATTACTGTGCTGTTACTCATACTTATCATTCTGATGTACCTGCATCAAGCCGTACTTCTGCCGTCCCTGGTCCCAGCCGTTGTTCAGGAGCAGGCCAACACGGCTCTCCTGTGACATGATGGCACCAATGAGAGCTGGGTCCAAGCACAGGTTTCTGGCTACTCGTCTAATCGGGACCTCATATCTCCTCAGGCGCACGAGGTCTGCCTCAGCAGTCCTCCGTACCATGGCATATCCTGCAGCAGAGGAAAAGGCAGACTTAAACACATCCCTGTCCAAAACCCTCCCTTTCCCCTTGAGCAGGTGTATCAAAGAAGTAACTCAAATTCTGAAGGAATTGTATCTGCACCGAACTGAGCAGTGAAGCTTGAGGAAAAAGCACAGCCCTATTGGCTCTGACCATGGCTAGGAAGCTGCTGTGCCAGTACCCAAGGGGAAGAGGGAGGCTTCTCAGGAAGTGGAACCACATGTTCATGGTCCTGTTCTTCTGCAGTTCCACTGTAAATGTGGCTCTGGAGTCAGAAGAGTGAAATTTCAAAAGGGATTTGCAAAAATAGATACACATTACTACTGACCAGACAAACTGGAGTAACTGTTATATATTCTGTCTATAGAAAGAAGGGTTTTTAAAAGCAATTTTGGAACAGTTTGGAAACGAGCAGGTGTGTTCAGATCCATGCTTGGACACTGACAGTCAAGGTGTCTGCCCTGAAAGAGCCTACATCTAAAGTATGTGGCCAAATTCCTGGAGATATGAGCAGTATTAACCTGACACAGTCAGATGAGCAATGCACAGGGAAATAACATGAGGAAAGAAAGAGAGAAATGTGAAGGAGTTACCAAACACTAGTCATACACACTTGGGACCTTTGCCCTGTAAAATGTGTCTCTGACAGGTCACCACTGGCCAGCTCAGCCAACATGCCAGCACTCAGAACCTGGATCTGTGCATCTTCACCTTCCAGCATACGGGCCCTGGGGTTTTGTGAGGATGCTGATGCCAAAGTCCTGGCTGATGAAGAAGTTGTTTTAACTGAAAAGGGGTGGTACTATTTCCCTTTACTCTGAGGCTGAAGATCCTGACTACAGGACTTGGGGTTTGTGCTTCCACTTCCCACCAGATCTGGAGGCTTCACAGCACCCGCCATTTTGGGAGAGGAAGTGTTGTTTTCTCCCTTTTGACTAATTGAATAGCTGCACCACATTTAATTTGGCAATAACAGTAAGTAAAGCATCTCTCTGTCAGGTAGAAACAGGTCGACAAGTCAAGCAATGAATGATACCTACCACAATCTGGGGCTCTTACAGCTGTACAGGACACCGTGGGGGCTGGAAGAGCACTTATATCACCATAGCAACTGTAACTCATGGATGGAGCTGAAATATTAAACGGAGGTGTTTGAACACATAAGATCTCAGAGCAGTATTGTACAAGTGCTGCAAGTGCATACAAGTTGAGCATGAGGGAGTCACCCAGACCTGCAATCCACAATCCCCTTGTGTTGGCCCTGCTTGTATAGTTGCCACTGCTCTCCACCAGTAATGCTATCAAAGAAAGTAGAGAACAGGAATTTGTTCTTTTCTAACTGAGTATGTTGAAGCAAGTGGATCCAATGAAAATTTAGATGAATATGTGCCTGCCCTGTTAGGTCTAAAGGCTGGTGTGGGAATGAAGAACCACAGTCTCTGCATTTATTTCAGAGGGCTCTTCCCATTCAATGCCCCCAGTGTCCAGGATCCCTCAGATGATGGCTGGAGGTACCTGAGCACCCTGGCTGGAAGTGTCTCCTGTGTCCCTCCATAACCTGGTGAGGAATTAATTCAGGAGAATGCTTGCCTCAGTCTCTGAAAATTACCCCATTTCCTTAGTAACCAAGGAACAAATAGCCTCCATCAAACAGCTTGACACATTTGTGAGACCATTTCTGAGCAGGTAGAGAGACTGGATAAGGTTAGCTGGAAAAATCAAGAGGAGCTATGTCTGTGACTCCCTTTTGGTTTCAGTCCCATACTCCAGATATGCTGGTTTAAAAGACGTGTGGGCAGCAAGCGGCCTCATACAGCAGCTGAGGACCTTTAGCCACACAGGGTTTTACAGGGCCATGCAGAAAGGGAACCTCAAGCCTGTCTGCACACCTCCTCTCTGTGGTCCTTCTGCAAACAATTCCCACTGTGATTTTGACAGCAACCCAAACCCATCTCACCGACAAGGGCTGAAAGGCCCAGCAAGAGCAGTGCAGGGATCATGGCGATGGCTCTCCTCAGCTGTCCCAGGAGACCTGGAAACACAGCAGTTTGCAAAACATGAAGAAATCACTGCTGATCTTCAACAGCACTGTAGCAAAGTTGGGGTGCCAAAAGCTCCTGCCCTGAGGCACCAGACAGGGATGGCATTTGCTGAAGAGGGGTTGGGGAGCAGAGGCACCTTCTCTGCAGCACGCTCTCCCCTTGGGGAGCTTGGGATCAGGGAGGTCCCTGTTGGCAGCCTGGGCCAGCAGGGACCTTTTTAGTCCCTGTCAGTTCTCATTGCTTGCTCACATGGCCCCTCCTGAACACCTGTAGTGTGTCTTTACAATGACAAGGTACGCCATCTTTGCTTTAATTTTATAGAGTTTGAAGTCTAATGTCCTACAAAGTGCACACATCCATTGCTTCTCTGTTCAAAAAGGATTTTTGCTTGGCTTTTGGAAAAACTTGCTTTCAAAAATCAAGCAATATGACCCTTAATTCTCTGCTAAGAGCATGCAAGGCAACTCCAAGATTTATTTAGTGAAATAATATTTCTCTGTGCAATAACAGCAGATAATCACTTTACTAATAAATGCATCTGTTGTGCTTATTAAAAAAATTTCCAAAATGTCATCAGATAATAGCTATGAAATGCAAAAAGCATTGACTGGCTTGCTGGTTAACACATTTAAACAGAGGAGCTTTTATGGCTTACAAATACTTTTTTCCCCAAGAACATTTCAAATAAAAAACACACCACGAGTCTTGTAGGCAGTCATCACTAATGCTGTTAACACTTGAAAATACATTATCAATTTTAATAATGTGTGACCTTTTCTCTAGACTGCATTTCTACTGCAAACCAGACTGCATGAATGGAGAAACAGGGATAGTCCACCAGTGTCATTGGAGAGGCTCCAATGAGTGAGTGAGCCTATTCAGGAAAAATGTTCACAGATGGAGCTGGGTACACGCAGGAACTCAGTTTGACCTCTAGCACTAACACTGAGTATTTACAAGCCTGGATCAATATAGCTTGACCCAATACCTATAAATACAGTGGCACATCCATATGGGTCTGCATCAAAAGCTACAAGCTGTAGCTCTTTCCACATGTAGGAAATTGCCAGATTATAAATTTTTAAATTACCAGCCATTTTTTTCCCCTCCCATCATAAAAACCTCACAGGCCTGAGTTAGATACAGCATAGCAATCACAATATTGATAAAATGGTAAATCAAAACAAAATAAAGGCTTCTGGCTCTAAATAAATGTTCTAAGAGTGAATTCAGACTCACCTGTCTTCAGTTGGCCTTCCTCTGAGGCAGGTCGCTTGATGACTTTTATATATACATGCAGGAAGAAGTATCCACCCTATGGGATTTGGAATGTTAATTCCTACCTAGTGTGATGACTATTTTAAAGTACAATAAGTAATATATATTAAGAGCTTAGAACTCTTACAATTTCTTTCATCCAAAGATTTGCACAAGTAGTTGTTAGTCAGACTCAGGACAACTCTGTGAAAGGAAATAAATACTGGTTTTCCTCCATCAATAAGCACATTGCTGCACAATAAATGACTTGCAGAAAGTATTGCAGTGAATCAGTTGCAGAGGCTAGGCAAAAATCAGATCCCTATCGACTGCTCTCCTTGCTTTGTGTCTGAGTTAGTCTGGGCACATTTCTGGAAGGATTTTTTTTGTCTCATTTCCTCAATGATTTCAGATTGGTAAGCTTTTAATTAAGAATTCTATTTTTGTATGAATTTTTAAAAGGGTAATTGAAGAAAAGCATCTCACTGCTTCATTGATTATGGGAAATTTAATTGGGAAAGGGAACTTGAATACTTTGAGGACAGAGGCAGGATTTGACTGTCAGATTTAGGGAGGCAGGATGCTGCAGCCGAAATTAGGAAGAAGGAAACTGATCTCTCAGCAACTGAAGCTAGAGGGGACACACAGAGGGTCTCTGAAAGACTTGCACCTCGTGGCCAAAAGACTTTTCACATATCTAAAACATCTGAGTCATTTTGAGAAGGAAGGATGGTCTGGGAGGCCAGTGCCCTTCAATCCTGTCCCCTGTGCTATGTTTTTCTCTTCCCAAGACTGCCCAGCATGTGTGGAGGGTAGGAAGGCAAAATTTTTTTCCAGTACCTTTCTGCTCATTATTTAATAAATCATAAATCCATCTATTCCCATTGCTCCTCTGGGCTTGAGATGTGGCAGGTAGGAAACACTGTTTTGGTCAGATACTGATTACTGGGTTCAAAATCAAGTGATGGCTATTAGTCTGTAAAGCACAGGAGATGATCAAGTGGGTCGTGTCACCTCAAAAATCAATAAACACAAGTATCATAGACTTAAATCCTGAGATAGTATGAAAGAGGGAACCTTCACTGGTGAACCTAACCTTCTTGTTCCAGGAGGGTTGGAATATGAGTTAAGGTGAGTCTTAAGTATAGAACTCATAATGACATCTTCCCAAGATTACAACAAGGCTAGGCAACCATTTTTCATGTATGAACCTGATATCTTTGTGGTATCTCAGACTAGACTATCACTTAGTCCTTTTACTGGAGTTTAACATTTCAAACAGTAGAGGTTTAACAGGTAGAAAATAGAAACATCACATGTACAGTGTGGCTTTAATCTTTTCAAAAGGAAATAGTGACTGAAGAAATGCTGGAAAGGAAGAAAGACAGAAGAAATGATCTGGGGAAAGTTCATAGTGCACAGCTTGATGGCAACAAGGCAATTCTACAGAACAAGGCAATTTATATTAGAAAGAGATGTATTCTCTCAAATAGATTATAGTAATTTAGTATTAACATCCAGTTACATTTTATAAAAACAGCATCATGTTAGTGACAATAAACTAGTGTTCCTCTGTTACTGAACCTGTGTTCATGCTGATGACTTGAGACCTTTTTTTTGAGAAGTAGCCTCGGATCTTAGGTAAGATTTCTTTCCTAATGTGTTGGTCACTTGCTGACAGTCCTTAAGATAAAGGTTTGAATTTAAATACTGTTTCTTTTTGCTATGTATTTTTCTCTTTCATTTATTAACTATGTAACCACATATTTTCTACATTTCACAGTGGTCACATGAATTCTTAATGCCTCCTCTGCTTTGCATTGCTCTTTATGTACTTACTGAGTGGATGCTATGTTTTAAGTGGAATTATTTTTATCTGTGCTGCTGTAGGCTCTTAGGTCCCTGGCACAGATTCCTTGTATTCACATAATTTCCAGCGTAAGCCCAAATAAGAGGATATTTTCTCAGTAGCACTATGAAGTGGACTTTTTCTCGCTAAAAACCTCTTTATCTTCACAAAATTTGCCGACTGCCTTATAGAATAAAAGCCAAAAGTAGGCAGCCTTTATGGAAACACAGTCATGCTCACATACATTGAATGAAGCAGAACGGTGTGTTTGTCCAAGGCACCACCATGTAATGAGAGCTGCCTGATGTTAGAAAACACCATCTTCTGCTGTGGGGTTGTAAATCCAGAGCATTGAATTCAGGTGAACCACTTAATGAGAGTAGGCTGCATCTGTCACTAGTATGTCACAATTTTTCATTTTTATGATAGATTTAATTCAGAAAATTACATCAACAGTACAGTACCAATACATATTCTCTTTGTCCTGGATTTTGGTCAGCACAGCGTGTGACTGAGGGAGGGAGGAGATGGAAAGTCAGAGAAAGAGGAGGAGTTCACTTATCAAATGGTATCTGCATCTTAAATTCAAGAAGCAGGAAAGCCTCCTCATATTCACAGGGGCATTCTGGCAATAAGCTGCAGTCAGTGACCACAGACATGGTTTCGCCATGGTCTGTCACTGACACTGTTACGTTGAGTTAAAGACAGAACAGAGTGGACAAAAAAATGTCACCTGAAAAAATAGCATTTCCCACTTGTTTTACATAAACTAGAAGGGAGCATACCTGAGATCTAAAGCACATCAAGGTTCAATACCATCAGTTCTTTCCTACTCACAGATTTTGACTTTGTTTTTACCCTCATGCCAGGTGAAGTTTTTTCATTCCACTTAATGGAGATGGGATCAAAATGGACCAACATTTTTTAAATAGTATTATATATTGTACATGTTATTCTCCTTCATGTTGCAGGTTACAGCATCACATGTCACTGGGTGGTAAGAATACTATCTAAAATTACCTGGAACAATACCACATTAATTATTGTCTCTTGTGAGTTCAACTGGTTTCATAACATTGACAGGCAGATGCATTTCTCAGGCTGTTCCTTTTGTCTTGCGTGTAATTATAGGTAACACCAGGTATTCACAGACTTTGTAACTGCTTTATAGGGAAGCTGCCCATCACTCCTGACGCACATTGGATGCCTACCACTAACTGACCAGTTAAAAATGCATCTGTAGCATCATCTCAGACAATCCCTCCAGAGCTGTACTCCCCAACTTTTAAAGAGACACACCCAGTTTAATAATTAAATTTCTATAGTTTTTCTTTTCTATATCTAGTATACCTGGAAGTAATCATAGAACCATTTAGGTTGGAAAAGATCGTCTAGCCCAACCATTAACCCAGCACTGCCGATTCCACCCCTAAACCATGTCCCTAAGAGCAACATCTACATATCTTTTAAATAGCAAAGGTCTTCAAACTTGTAAGACAGAAGGCTCTCAGTTTTCTCTATGTTCAGAAATGAACAGGTGCTAAGGGCCCAAGCACAAATGCAGGCTGGGGGATGAATGGATTGAGAGCAGCCCTGAGGAGAAGGACTTGGGAGTGTTGGTCGACAAGAAGCTCAACAAGAGCCAGCAATGTGCACTTACAGCTCAGAAAGCTAACTGTGTCCTGGGCTGCATCAAAGGGACTGTGAACAGCAGGTTGAGGGAGGTGATTCTCCCCTCCACTAAGGTCTCATGAGATCCCAGTTGGAATACTGCATCCAGCTCTGGACCTCCAACGTAAGAAGGATGTGGACCTGCTAGAGCAAGTCCAGAGAAGAGCCACTAAGTTGATCAGAGGGCTGGAGCACCTCTCATATGAAGACAGGCTGAGAGAGTTTGGGACTGTTCAGCCTGGAGAAGAGAAGGCTCTGGGGAGACCTTAGAGCACCTTCCAGTACCTAAAGGAGGCCAACAAGAGAGCTGGGGGGGGGTTTTGTACAAGGGCATGTAGTGATAGGATAAGGGGTACTACTGAAAGAGGGTAGGTTTGGATTTTGGTTGCCCAGAGAAGTTGGTTGCCCTGGAAGTGTTCAAGGCCAGGCTGGATGGAGCTTTGAGTAACCTGGTCCAGTGGAAGGTGTCCCTGCCCATGGCAGGGGGGTTTGAACCAGGCGATATTTAAAGTTCCTTCCAACACAAACCATTCTGTGATTCTGTAACTATTAAGAGCATTTCTGTGTGCCTGGAATTAATGATGCAAAGCATTGAGGACTCTCAACGTTTTAGAAACCAAACAGGAAACAATTTCAGACTTTTTTCTAGGGCAGCACACTAACAAAAGGAATAATTAGCAAGGAGGAAGTAGATCAGGAAGGCAATTAATGTTGTTTAGTGTATTACAATCACCTGATATTCATACAATGTCATCTTGGGAAAAGCCAATCATTACTGGAGATTGTGTGGTTTGTGATGCAGGTAAGTTAATTTTTAAACCTTTTTTATAGGAGTTAAATGTTGAAATCGTACCATCGGGCAGGTGACACTTGAACAGGTGGTGCTCAAAAACACAAAGTATATTACACAGATTCAACACTGAGCTATGGGGCTACTGGATCACTTGTGGTTTATCTTAGGCAGCTTAAACCATGGCTATAATAACAGATCCAAAAAAATGTAGCCTTACAACATGCACCTCATAGGATTTCTAAAAGCACGTTTTCTTAACTACTTCCTTTCCATCAACAAGCATCAAATATCTCTCAGTGTATGTGCATTGTAAAGTTAATTCACCAAGTTTGAACAAGAGTTTTTTTGGGTGAAGCTCTGGGGTCTTAGGTACTACTTTAGCCAGTTTGATGTGTTACCTTTAAATTGATGAAGAAGGTATGAGCATAAGTTCCCTTTTGTAGCATAGGATATAGAACAGCGCTTTGCAGGGGGACAGGTAACAGGGAGCATCTGCCAGACTGCACTGTCTCGGATCATCACAATCATACTGGACAGACTTACTGCTGAAGGCTCCAAAGCGTGATCCAACAACAAAAGTTCAGAGTAGACCTTATTTTGGCAAATGTGGTGGAACCTATCTCTATTTATCCTTTAAAGGGGGCTCAAGGGCAACATTCCCCTCAGAACATTCTAAAATATTCTACTGTAACATCAAGTACTTTCTACTTCCAGTTCCTAGAGAGGCTTTTCTTCAACTCCAGAGTGTAACTCTCACTCTCAAACAGTTGTATAGAGCTGTTCTAAACAGACAGACAGATCAACCCACTACTGAAAGAATTTTCCTTTCAAAAACTGAAATACACAGCTATTGTATATGCAATGAGTACAAAAGCCATCTTATTTCTGCATCAGCTTGTGCTTGTTTGTGTGTGCATGCGGGAGATGAAATGACAACATTCCTCACACTGAGTTGAAGACACCAGCTTTGCTCTTAAATGGGAGACAAAGGGCTTATTTTAGAAACTGTACTGTTCAAAGCCTAAATTTTCTACAGAAAATTCCATAGAAAAGTTTTCATTTTAGAATTTCTAGATGGTAAACAGCACAATGGGGGTTACTTGGAACAGAGGACTAGAAGGCATCAATTCATCTTTTGAGTTGGCCTCCCCCAATGACACTTATGACACTATGACTCCCTATGACACTTGCAGGCAATCCAGCCTACTAACGAGGTCTGAGAGCAGCTGTGCCATTGTCACCTTCTCCAGAGTTTGTTCCTTGTCCTCTCTCTTTCCGGGACTAGACTTCTTCATTCTTTCCAAATCCCAAAGCTCAACTCAGCACTTAATTTCTGGGTAGATTTCTTGAGCAGACCAGCACAAGGGAAACACAAGATCAATCAGTGATCAAGGAACGTCCAGTGAAGTCCAAATAATCCAGCATTAAGAGCTGAACAACCCAGATCCTGTTTGGTTATTACTGCCTTCATGCATTTCTTCAACAATCACTTCATGCAAGCACCTGGCACAGAGTAAAGCACTAATCATTACTAAAGTGACATGCTGAGTTTGGGCACAAGCCCCATCACTTCCAAGCTAGACGTGAACATTTCTGATCTCTTCGCTGTCTAACACCCTTTCATGGATAACACATGCCAGACCAGGTACCATTTTGTGATTAGCCTGGGCTCAGGAATTGTAGTCAGTCATGTCCAATCTATCTGCCACAAGCAATTAACCATGTGCAACCTGTTTCCTTTCTGGATATTGAGTATCATCATCATAATCTCATTTATTAGCCATATGGCCACTAGATCGCTGTTAATAAAGTTAATCTTTCTGCTTTTCAAGTCTGAACAGCTGACATTTGTTTCAGCTGGTGTTCTCTGTATTGTGACACTTCTAGCTTGCTGTCCCAGGTTTAATTATCACGGACAATTCATTAAATTAATGGGCACTGCAAAATCACTGAACTCTACAACACAAGAATAATTTGTTCCTCACTACTCAACCTAGACAGATTTCCCACTTCTTAAAGAACTTACAGGTTTCTGCAAAAACAAAATTTTTGGGTTGGGATTGTTCATCTCAAAGTAATATGCAAAATGGAGATGTCACCAAGAGGACTGTTCAGTAACAGTTTTAACGTTCATTCAAGACAGAAAATGCAGAAAGCAGACATGAAAGAACTGAAGGAACAGATCTAGGAGACTGCTACTTCAAAATAAAGTTAAACTTATTATTACAGTCTCAATTTCCATCTATACCCATGGCAAGAGTGTCCCTGTCCAATGCAAGGGGATTGGAACTAGATGATTTTTAAAGTCTCTTCCAACTCAGGCCAGACCATCATTCTATGATTCTACTCAAACCACACATTCCTGCAAACTCCTTGTATCAGCACTGGAGTATGTGTGGTCATGTTACAAACCAGGTGAAAAAGAGCTCCCAGGAAGGATGAAGGAAGATTAACCTAGGAAAAAAAATCATCAGCTTAAAGTGACATGAAACCACAGACTCTGAGTAGGATTTGCATTGAGTTTGTAATGAGGCTATTCACACGTGGAACTGAGTAACCTCCAACAGCGCACCACGCTGGAATCCTGACAAGCCCACGTGTTTCCACACAGCATGCAACTGCATCAGACATGATTTTGTATTTCCACAGCCTGTTCAACATAATTAGACTCAGAGATGAGTCCTGCTAAGACACTTGTAAAGATACTGTTGGAACATCGGTTTCCTGAATTTCATGCAACTGGATAAAGAAAAAAAGAAAAAGGAGCACTTTCTAATGCATTTGGAGAGTTTGTGCATTAAAAAGGATATCGACTCAAAGGAGGTCTACTTTATGCTTCTCCTGGATGAAGAGGCAGCTGTGTACATCTTAGGCTGATTGCCTTCTCATAGAGATCTCATACTGTTAAGACAGAACTGTAAGTAGTTTGCTAGAAATCTAGAAAGAGCTCATAAAACTTTCTGATGGACTTTATTAAAAGAAAATTAACCCACAGCACCTAGACTTCCTTCTTTGAAAGGACGCAGTAGTCAACATTAGAATTAAAATAATTTTATTTCAATGTACATGAACAGAAATAAAATATAATTTTTTAAAGAGATATATTGCTGGGCTGGCCCAATCACAAGTGTTCTCCACTACAAGGTAGCAAACTGACTAGACCCACTTCACTGCTTTTTGGGCCAAATGGATTCAAATACCACCTCAAAAAGGGTCCTTCAGCACAAAGCAAATTATTTTTTTGAAAACAAAAAGAAAACTCATCAACTCTTCACCTAGCCAGAAATTTTACATTGTGTCCAAGGAAGATCTCCCTTGAAAATTCTGTCCATTATTGAAGAACAGTACACAGTATGCGGTGCTATATCTAAACTTAATGATCAAGGTTTCTCCCAAATACTTTTCTCTATTCTACTCTCTTATACAAAGCATCTCCTATAAAATCCAAACATTCACAACCACAGAATTATACAAACCCATCAACAAGGCAGTTTTCAATATGCTTGTCGCTATGTGCTATTACCTGCTGTATCAGCTCTGACATGCAGTGTCATGACATAGATGGTACAAAGGCATTTCTCTTGGCCACCTGTTTCAGAATTCACAGAAGTTATGACTGTTTTTACAATTTATAGCACAATGCAGTTAATTTATTTAATGTCATGATATGGCACCATAAGATAAGGAATCATTTGTTAAAATGCACAATTTCTTTACTAATCATTTTGTGGGGCTTTACTGATAATATAAGAATAAACTTAAAAAGACAACTGGAAGAGGAACTGATGGAGAAAAATAATTTTTTAAAGTGTCTGTTACCTCTTTTAATAAAGAAAAAACAGAAAAAAACTCCTGTAGCTGTCAGATTTAACAAAACCAACAGAATTCGTTCCTCACTCAACACGGTTAAACTGTGGCCTCCTTGCCACATGATGTGGATACTTGGATGAGGTTTTAAAGAGATTTTTCTTCCATTATTTTAACCAGCAAGTGCTCTCAGATACGGAGTTCCCCAAGCCACAGATTGCTTCACAGATTGTGGGGAAGCATTGCTATCTGCTCACCCTGTTTTCACTCTTCCTTGTGCATCTGCTTTTAGCCACTGAAACTGGATGCTGGGCCAGAGGGAACTTTGGTCTGACTTCATACAGCTGTTTCTAAGTTACTTCAAAACATTTCATAAGCTTACACTTACTAAAAACAAAATTCATCATTTGCCATGTCATTTAGTTAGAAGGACTAAGAGTTTTGAATTACAAATGACTTCCAAAAGAGGAAAAAAAAATATTTAAGCTTTTTTCCGCTATGACTCAGTTGTATAAAACTGTATAGAAAAATGAGAATTATGTGCAGATGTAATGAAAAGCAGTAAGCTTTATAAAAAACATTCTTAGAAATGTACCACGCATAAACAAAAGATGATTTACAAATATATTTAGTAGCTCTTCTAGTCATCATCAGAATCTGAATCATATATCTTTCCTCTGATGGTCTTCTTATCCAGCTTTGTAAAGCTTGTTCCATACTTCTTTTGACTTTGAAAAGGTGGGTCCATCAAGTTTCCACTAGGGGAAAAGTGTAAGACAAGTTGATTAAAGGCATATTCATATAGCATCTCTAATGACCTGTTTCTCCAGAAAAAAAATCGTAAGAGACCACAATGCCGATTCCCTAAAGCCACTTTAAGTACCACCGTGATGTTGCCAGCATAGAAATCTGACCTGAACAGTTTTTCCCCTAAATACAGTTTATCCTTTCACCATCTGCTATCCCACAGGTTGAAGGCAAATAACTATTTCTAGGCTCTGAAGAAGACTATGCCCTTTTCAGGGACTCCAGAGAGCAGGACGTTATTTTCAGAGCAGTGTGGAAACATGGCTCACTTAGCAAAACAGGGTCTGGCAAAACGAACAAAAAATGAAGCAACTCCCCCACAGCACAAGGAGTCAAAACCAAATATACAGTACTAGTAAGGTCAAGTAGGAAGCAAATTTATGCCATAAGACAATGTATGCATATTTACCAAATTCAATGCTGTTTGGTATAAATCCTGTGAAAGATTTTTCCCATAAAAGGCTGTTGCTGTCTAGAATATACATCCAAGCTGTCTTTGACTCCTCTGCAGATTTGCTTGTTAGTGAACTGGGAATTACCACTTGTTCTGAGTTACAAATTTTAATTTCAGTCACTTCACCTGAAGTTCAACAGCTATTAAGCCAAATAGAACAGCGCCAAAGACATTAAAAACAAAAGACCAAAATTAACCTAAAAAAATAAAGATGACATTTGAGCCACACTGGAAAGCAAAGCAAAAAGTCTTGGTAAATAATTCTCCTGTGAAGTTAGGCTATTGTGGTGACATATCTACTACTGCCTTCTGTCCTGTAGCCGTTAATGTAGTATCTATTATGATTATATTGTACTGGTACTCAAATAATTTATTTACACTTCTTCAATTTATTTTCCTTTTCTGTACTGTTCATTGGAAAACAAACATATCCATGTGTGTGATGTGGACTAAAGAGGACTTCCTGAGTTGTCTCTGAGGTAGATTGAAAATGCTCAGATTTTACTGCGTTGCAGCTGCGACAAGAAGCATCTAGAGCTGATTTAGACAGGATTATATGAGATGCACAACTTTGAGGCCATATCAAAGCAGCACAGCTACTCCAAACACCTCATTGGAAGAATTGGGTTTATTTTTATTATTATACAAAAAGGACAACATAACACTCATTACAAGGGCTCAATACTTTGCCAAAGAGATTCTCTTCCTTCCCTTGCCAGAGCATTCAGATTAAACTCTCATATCAAAGTTAAAAACTTTCACAGATTTTCCTGTCTGCAAGTATTTCTCCTTGCACTTTATCTGAAAATAAAACAACCACAAACCGATTAATTACCTGTAATTAATTATGTCTGCACAGCCTAATCTCCATTCTAAGGTTTCTGTAGTGAAGTCATCAGTGTTACCGAGATCAGTAAAGCCCACAACGTAGTCTTGCGTTTTTCCATCTTTTATTAGTGCTAGAGTGGGAATTACTTTGATGCGCAGTCTCTCGCACAGGAAAGGAGATTTTTCAGCATTTAATTTCAAGAATTTTGTCTCAATGTGCTTTTTTGCCAATGCAGTCAAATGCTTGTCCATTATTTGGCACCTGTAGAAAAAATTACCCAAAATATGTAAAGTGTTAGAATGAATACAGTGAATAACATGTATTTTAGAGAAAGTTTAAAAGGAGCAGTAAAGAGCTAGTTCTGTCATGTTACTACCTCAGACATGACTTTTCTAATTAAGAATTTAATTTCAACAGAAACTGTGTTTTAGACGTAGCTGGATTCAATGACTAATAGAGGAACAGCCTGGAGCACCTTTAGTGCACAATTACACCATTCACTTCTCTAATTTCTTCCTAATTACTTCCACACACACTTGCGAGCCTCTCTCTCGTTTCTTGAGTACCGCACTTATTGCTGAAATTTCTTTCTGATTTCTATTGTTCCTGCTCTAGCTTCACTCCCTGTCAGCTGGAAAAATTTCGCTATACAAGGTTTCTTCAGAGAAGTACTTTCAACATGTTACAGCATTTTGGATTTTTGCAGTCACTACCTTCACAGCTGAGATGCAGTAATTCACTGTAAGGGAAAAAAAAAAGTGATTTGCACAGACTGCTACAGCAGGGCTACAGGCAACAATATTTCACTTTTCTGTTGCCATGGAATAGGAGTAAGTATACAATTCTTTACTAATTGTTTCTCAGCTGAGGGACGGTGACATGAACTGCTCAAAATACTTGTCAGATGGCAGAGATTTGTGGACTCGTCACCTGCAACCTCAACTCTCTGGATCATCTTCTCTAAGCAATTTGGCTTAGCTGCAAAAACGCCAGTGTGACTGCCCTTCAACTCAAGAGGAGAGCTGAACAGAACAAAGAGCTGGAGGAAGCAAAGATGAAAGCAACTTGGTATGGTGGTTGGTTAACCAGAGACATGGGCTTCAAGCTGGTTGTCAGCACAACACATTTTACAAAGCACTTCCTCTAAAGTTCATTCTCCTGTCTGAGTCTACCAGACTTTGCTGGTTCAAGATGTAAGAACCAAACAACCCAAACCTGTTTCTAAGCTACCTTATTTGCAGTGACAGCTTTCAACTTCTTTGAGTAAAAGCTAGCCAAATAGAACCACTTTGTGTATTTCTGAAACTTAAACACTGAACTTAGAAAATGTGGGACAGAGATACCTCACTGCATAATCCAGCCTCGACCTCTTTCAGTTTCTCACATTGAGGCTGTTTCAGTTTATATTCTGTAAGCTAGAGAGAACATAACACCTTTGGGGGAAAAAAAACCCCAACAAACCAAAACCAGGACAACTGGCTCCTCCTTCAACAAACTACTCTACTTTCCAACTGCATTTTAACAGAATGCATTGAAAGAGACCCAGTGAGGAACAGCCTATAACCAAGAACTTCTGAAATTCTTCCAAGGAAGTGGGAGATCTCATTTTCAGTTCCTATTTTGAGTCAGGACATATTCTCAGATCTAGGTGTCTCATACCCTAAAGAAGTGACATAATCACAAAGGCACAGTCACAAAGGGAAAGCAGCTGCAATTTGTATCCAGAGATCCTTTCAAAGTAAAAGGTTAAATTCTCAAGATGTATAGACAAGATTTTGGTTATACTTTTATTTTTGTTTGCCAGACCTGCCAAGAATATTTCTATCTGGAATAACCAAAGCCATATTTCTGAAATGCTGCTCTGCTACAGTCACTACATTTACAGACTGGCTGCCTCAAACTAAATCAATAATGAAACACAGCAGTCTCTCAAATACTGTAAAAAAGGTTGTACATTTATGTTTTAATCAATAATATAACAGAGTATTAATCGTTGTCAAATCACTTCAGAATAACTGTAATGGAAAAAATACATTTTAAAAAAATCAAATGTCTTGAGAAGTGAGATTTGTAATGAAAGAATTTGAATACTTCTAAAAATGCCTGCTTACTTGTGGGATTTGAAAGAATAAAAGAATACATCTGTTTTTGTAGACACCTCTACACAAAAGGTTTCTTCAGCATGGCTTATTTACTATACCTGAATGTTGTATCTCTATAGAAATGGCAAACAACATTTTTACTTTCTTTGACTTCTTGGAAAAAGTCTCTCTCTCTGGGGATTTCTCTGTATTCTCCGTGTCCTTTTGAAAGCCATTCCTTTTGGAAAACATAAAAGGAAATAATTAGTATAGAGTTTGTTAGTCCTGCATCTGGTGTGCAAGCTCTACAGATTTCAGAAAAATTAAAGAGGGGGCCTGAAGTGAAAAACCATTTCATACAGTCACAGAGAAACAAATTATATCCTGTGCTTCAGTTACATTTTGAAAATATGTAAATACCACTAGGCCTAGGTTTGGGCTTGCCTCTTTTTCAACAGCAGATATGTGGTTAAGCAGTAAGGCCACCCTTGCTTATTTGAAAATACAAATCTTGTACAGAGCTGCATAAATTTCTGCAATGCAGCCTCTCAGTAAGCCAAGACTAGTTCAAAGAATACCGTAACAAAAATTCTCAGCATTTGAAAAGTGCCAGTTGACAGCTTGGGCTACTCTCTCTGAAATGTTTTTGTACATTTCAGAACTCTTCTCTAAAACTTAATCAAGCCACTACATGTATTAAACAGATTTCTTCTATGTTTTTCCTTTATGAAAAAAACCTACTAACTCATCTGCAATAGATGATGTTTATCTATCAAATATACACTGAAGGGATGTTAACATGAACCAGGTTTACAGAAAACCATTCAGAAAACACATATGCACCATTAATCATAAAATATACGGAGAAACAGAATCTCACGAGCTAAAATTTATATGTAACTTCAAAACCTGCCTGATTAAGTGTGTAAATACAGTTTACAAAAAGCTAATCTTCCAGATTTTCAACAGACACACTTAAGGAAAAATCCAGCTTCTACATTACTAGAAGTTAATTGCAGTGTATTAAAACAAGTACAAACTAAGCTAAATGATTAGAAGTAGCACAGTATGACAAAATTTGACAAAACACTTCAGTTTCCAATGAGGGAAAAAATTTTTGATAAATCACTGTTCTTGATCTTCCGGTTTTGTCTTAGCAGAGTTAAGATTAAAAAAAAAAAGGCTTCTGAGCAAACCGAAGATATCCTGTAAGATAAATTAGGATAGAACAAAGAATTTCCTGAATATTGTATACATTAAAAATTCATAGAAGTACGAGCATATGAAAAAGTCACCACGATGCAAATGACAATGAGTATGCGAGTATGCATTAATTCCCCTCTGCACAATTTTATTCTGGAATAGTGTGGCAGCACACTCCTATTACTGAGCAGTATCCTACTTCACATTTGCATTTGAAAATGTATCAGAACAGTGACTTAAGACCAAACAACATGAAAATGTTTTTGCATGAGATCTACCACATGTTCACATCCAAGTGTTATGACTTCTGAAAAAGGAAAACACTAGAATCAAACATAAACTGAACTTCTGAAAACAAGCAAACAGTGTGCCACTTTCTCTACTTCTGCATTTAGAGAATCCAAGCTGCTAATGCTGCCTGTCCTCCAGCATCCCAACCATGCCATGCCATTTTACTGCATTCCCGTTTCAAAGCCTGGCATTAGCTTTTAAGGATTCCATCAGAGGCAGAGCATCTCCTCTCAACCCAATCACCTTTCCCCCATCCAAATCTATTTCTTTAGTTGGCTTTGCTTAGGTGGAGTAAGCTAAGAAACCTATGGCTTCCCTGTTTACAATTCAGGTCTCACACCATATGTTACCAAAATTTTGGTGAGAACTATTGTTCAAAGAGACTTTTGAGGGAGCATAAAGACCACAATATGACATGAGGTATCAGGGACCAAGGGAGAATTTCTTTCCTGTAAGAAGACATGAATGGTCATACAAAGACAACATTCCACTGGGTTAGAAGGAGTGCGACAAACGATTCCACCCTCGGAACAAGGAAAAACCCGGTATCATCCTTCTACAAAATACCTTAAGAGAACAGCATGCATCACCTACATGCCACAAGTAACAATCCAGAAGCTTCAGAAGGAAGCTTCTGAAGAAAGAAATGAAGGAGCCTAAAGGATTATGAATAGGTTGCCTACAAGGCTTATGCTTCCACATAGTAAAGTTCAGTGAAAATGGACACACTCAAATCTCTGTAGGAGAGTCTTTATCCTATCCGTATTGTAAACAATCACAGAGGTGCTTCTCTCCTCCTGTTAAAAAACACAAAGCATGCACACATGGACAGACACTTGCTTTCCTAGATAATTTAAAATTAATAAGTATGAAAAGGTGATGAAGAATAAAAAAACCCCCAAACCAGCAAAACAACCCCAAAGCACTTAATTCACATACACAATTTCCCTAGGATTTCCCAAAAGTCTGTTACATGTAACACATCAAGAGCGTGTACTACAGGAATTACTTGTTTCTGCTGCTGAGTCTTTTTTAGTGCCTCAAGCCTCCTCTGTTTAAGGCGTTCCAGTTCATCTTCATCCATTTGGTCCAGCTTCTGTATTTCAGCATCCAGATGTTCTTCCACAACCTTGGTAGACTGAAGTATTTCATTCTCCAGAACTTTTTGAAGTATGTCAACAGGGGTATCGGCAGCCATCTTTAGCTGGGAAGTGATCTCTTCAGAGCTGTGGAAATAGTGACACAAGGAATTAACATTTATGCAAACAATTAAAAGCCTGATCTCTCTTGCAGTTCACACCCTAGAGAAACAAAATACTGTGCTATTTGAAGACAGGAGTAGATAGTTCTTTTCTATACTGCAACCCCCTTTGGAGAATACTTTCACAAGGAACACAAATGGCAACAAAGATACAAGTCAAGTCCTGTTCTCTCAGCCCCAAAGCCACATATTTAAAGTGCAGAGGAAAATGAAACCACTTGTTAATATAAAGAAGAAAAAATCACCAGTTCCAAAGCAGTGAGCCAGATGCACCTACCTTTAATAAATATTCTGAAACAAGAAGATGCAGTTGGAAAGCTCCAAGCTGCTGTTATAGGAGGTACAAGATGTCTCAGAACAAATCTAAGCAATGCTCAGTATACAAGTTTCTGGCAGTAGTTTAAAGCAATTACTTTAAGCATCTCAGGCATGTTAACATATCTGCATTAACACTCCTCATCTAGAAGATGAGGTGCTTAACAGCAAATGCCTTAGGCCAATACACTGCTTTAATTAGTACCAGAAAACTGCTACGGCAACCACCACCCTATGGTAGCCAGCAATAGGATTTAAAAGCCACTACCCATTGCTGTGTGAAGAAACACAGCCAAAATTATTTTCTCCCCGCTCAAACACATCAAAAGGCACAAAATACTAACGGGAGTGCATGATGAGCTGTGACAACACAATCGATTGTTCTCACCAATAAACTGACACTGCAGAAAACTGCCAGTGTAGTGACTGACAGTCTGAAAAGGGGACAGCACACCGTCACCCTACTCAGGTTCTTAACCCGCAGGCCATGGTTCTGATGTGCCGAGTTTGGGTTCCAGGGTACTCCTGGATGTATTTCAAAGCAGCTGAGCTGCCAGTGCCACTGGCTGTGCAAGCACGTTGCACACAGAGGCAAGAAAAGCACTTTAAGTAGCGACAGGCAAAGTACCAACACGAGGGCAGCACTCCAAGTGTACTGCAGCAGCAGCGCCCAGCCTGCCGCCACATCCACTCGTGTCACTGCCACGCTCCCCGACTCGCAGCACCTCGCCTTCCCCCCCTCTTCCCAAAGCTGCTAACCACAAATCTCTCTGTTCCCTAACCCCTTCTCTTGTACTTCCAGAGGGAACAGGAACCTTGCCAGCGCAGATCAGAGGCCAGCAGGTCTCCAGGAGAGGGAGGGACCCCTGCTCAGCTGGGGCAGAGACTCGTCCTCCCAACAAACAGGAAGAAAAAGGAAGACCAATCCCAGCCAGGATCTACCACAGCCCGAGGGCTCCCGGCGCCCCAGGGGAATGCCGGGTGCCAACAGGATTCTCCTACGCAGCTTGAGGGTTCGGCACCACTGCCGGGGCCGCGGTTCTGCAGCCGGGCCGGGAAGGGGCGCAGGGGGCCCGGCCGAGGGGGCGGCACACGGCGGGGGCACCGCGCAGGCGCCAACCGCCCCCCTCCGCAGGGCCGCTACAGACAACGCTACAGACAACGCACCCACCCAGCTCCGGACGAGCTCTCCCGGGACACTGCACCGCTCGCCCCGCCGGGCCCGGCACTGCCGCCCGTGGCCACGGCCCCCACACGGCCCCGGCACCGCCGCTCACCCTCCACCGGCCGCGCCCCGACCGCGGTATCGCGAGAGACAGCGCGGGGCGGGGCGCGTGCGGAGCTGACTCCCCGGCGCGCCGATTGGCCGGGCCGGCGGCCGCGCGTCCCTACGGGCGGCCGCGCCCGCGGAACTCCTCCCGACGCGCTGATTGGCCGCGGACGCCTGACGTGCGCATGCGCCCCGCGCGCGTGCCGGGTGCACGTGTGCGCCGCACCTGCGCCCCGGGCGGCCCCCCCTCCTCCCACGCCGCCGCAGCCCCGCCCCGAGGAGGCCCCGCCCTCCGCCCTCCCCCTCACCGGCGGGGCTGGGCCGGCCCGGGCGCTGCGCGTTCCCACGGCCCTCGCTGCGCTGCCACGGGCGGGGCTCGGCCGCGGGCGGCGGGGGCGTCGCAGCGCCCTTCCAAGCCCCGCTCTTCCTGTTCCAGGCGCTCCAGAGGCTTTGGCGGCTGTAGCGGGAAGTGGGAGCTGGGATCGTGCGCCGCCGCTGCCGCCGGTATTTTGGGGATTCCTCCTCGGGGTTGTGCGTGTGTTGCCGGGGCCGCAGCCCCGCGGGGGTGTGTCGGCCGGGAGCCCCGGGGCCGGGCCCCCGGAGCGAGGGCGGGAGGTGAGTCACGCTGCAGGAGCGGGGCCGCCCCGGCGAGAAGGTGGGATGTGCTGCAGCAGCAGGGGCTCGTCGTCTCTGCTTCCTCTTGTAAGTGCGCTGGAAGATCCTCTGATTTAAATAATGGGATATTAAAGCGTATCTTCAAAAAAAACCAACTCAAGTGTTCTACTGTCGTCTTTCTTTGAAATCTGACTCCCCAGTACCGAAGTGGGCTGACAGGCAAGGTGCGGCGGGAAGATAAACTCAGCCTTATCTGAAGTCTGCTGGGAGCCTGGGTGGGAGAGATTGATAGGGAGCTACAGCTGTTCAAAGGCAGAGAGAAATAAGAAAGTCAGGGTTTTAGGGAGTGAAGCAATCCTCGGGTTGCAAGGTGAAGAGGTCTGCTCTGTCCGTCAGAGGAATTACTGTGATGGGGTGATGACGACAGAACACGTGCAGCTCTCAAAGCCTATTAAATACATAGAGTGATGGCTGTGCTCCCTGTGAGTGTTGTTATTCCTGCTCCACCTTGCTTTGCTCTTGTCAGGAGGAGGTGGGGTTGCAGCAGAGAGCCCCTCTGCCTCAATACACTGTTTGCTGCCTTGCTTCCATGCTGTGTGTCTGTGGATGTCAGCTGCCTCCTGCCCCACAGCAGCAGGACCTGGGCTCTCCTGTGAGACAGCCCAGCACCGTGTCTGCTCCCAAGGCTCCTTGGAGGGAAGTGGGAGGGAAAGTTTTGTACACTAAGAAAGTTTGGCAAAGGGGGGAATGAATTACCATCCTTTTAGTGCTGCCCGGCAGCCAATTTCCCTGCCATGGAACATCTTCCATCCCTGGAGCTGAGTTTGGTCACTGCCACAAACCCAGTGCTGCCTCCTTGGCCCCCCCTGTAAGGGCCAGTCACCTCAGGGTCAGATGGGGGAGTTTTGGTTACACTTCACCTCCAACGTGGGGGAGTGCTGGGAATGATGGACCAGCAGAGCCCACGAAGGGCTGGGGGAAAACTACTTGTGTGCCCAGAGGAGCAGTGAGGTGTCCTGGGCATGTCCCACACCTGAGCTACTGCCTGGTCACTGTCCTGCTGCTTTGTTCCCTAAAAACTTCCCCCTTAGCCTTTCCGTTCCCACACTTAGACCTAGCCGTTCTATTTGCCTACCGGTAAAACCTTTCCAAACATGTTAAATTTGACTGTTCAGTCAGGTTTCGGGGCTAAATGGGCCACAATCCTGCCAGCAAGGCTTAGGCCCACTGGGGAGGCAGGAGGGAAACTACAAATTCGGGGCGTCACTTAGACGTTCTCCCGGGGGCTGCCCGAGGGCCAGATCGACGGGATCGGGGCCGGTTCCAGGAGCCTCTCGGTCGCCGCCCGTTCCCCCTCCGGCCGCCGGGAGGCGCCAGCGCCCGGAGGCCTCACGGCGGGGCGGGGCGGGGCGGGGGCGGGGCGGGGCGAGCGCGTGCGCGGCGCGCGGCGGTGCCATATGCGCGGGGCGGTGCGCGGGCTGCGCTGAGGGGTCGCGCGCCGGTGTCGCCGCCATGGGCAAGAAGCAGAAGAACCGGAGCGAGGAGAGGTGAGGGGTACGGGGATTCCCCCCCGCTCGTCCCGCCCCCGGGACCCCTGCCCCGGGCCGCCCGCGGCGGCGTGACACGGCCCACACGGCGCTGAGTCAGGCGTCGGGCCCGGCCGGGGCTCGCGGCCTCGTCGCAGGCGGGGCGCGTCAGGCCTGGCTCGGCCCGGCCGTGCGTGTGTTTGTCCGTGAGGGGCAGGCGGCTCGATTGCCAGCCGAAAAATAGCCGCTTAGTGCAATTGCAGTGCCTCAGGTGTGGGTTTATTAATTATTTTTTCTCTCTTATCGGGCGTTAGTGCAATAGATCGTGCTGAGACAGTGATATCTACGTGCTTCATGCTGTAACAGAGATATCTGCATGTTTAATAAATGCAGATGTTGGATATTCTAGTGGTTGGATAGTAGGAGGATCGCCTCTGTGGTTATGTCCATATCGTCGTGGACACTGCCGCATCTGTGAACTTTTTTTGTGTGTGAGAGTTTCCTATAGAGGCAGCTGTATTAACCATATGGAATGCTGACCGAGTGGCGTTGTGTGTATATACACAAGCAGGAGAGAACGTGTTTTTACTTGTCACTGTAAAGTAACTAATACAAAGATACAGTAAGTTTGAAGAGTGTTTTTAACTTTTAATACTGACAAGTAGTTAAATAAAAACTGATGTCTTAAAATGTGTATAGGCTATAAACTACAACTTTTTTTCCTTAACTTTTTGAGCCATTAGGTGTTCTTAATTCGGATCTAAATGTTACAAAAAAGAAAGAGCAATAATGTAGTTGCAGTTACCCTCACTGTTGCTGAGTCCTAAGGTCGGTGGTTTCATTCTGGTGGTGGAGAGGAGCTGTTATGGGGAGCTATCACATCAGGTGTCCTTCACAAGGAGCATATGGTGGCTCGTGTTGGCTGTTTCATCTTGCTCGCTCAAGGATCCACTTGACATCATTTTTATATGCTTGCTAATGTGACTTTGCTCTTCACTGGTTACTCCATGAAGCTCCATGGTGAGCTAACTCCATTGGTTAGCTCCACATTAAATCCAAATGTATGAGAGGCATTGAGTGTTAAATGCTGTTCCTTTCCTGTTTGTTACCCTTAAAACCAGTTTTGTCCAGCTCTGCATTTTCTTTAGCCAGCCTCTGTCAAGTTGTGGGGTGTCCTATGCCGAGTCTATAGAAGACATCTCTGTTAATCCATGCCTGCGCTCCACTGCGTCCTATCTCTTCGCTTTTCAAGGCCACTGCTCCCATACCAGGCCTGTATTTCTCTACACTACATCATTGTTGTAGAGTTGTGAATATCTCATTCTGTGCAGTGCCTGCTCGTCAGTGGTGTCTGTATGAAACTATGGTTGCAGCATGCTTGGGTAAACAGAAGTGGAACAAATTAGACACAGGCACCTGGTCAAGTAGAGAAATTGCTGTCACAGCTAAATCAAGGAACACTTGCAGACAGGTCAAGAGACGTTCAGCCAAAGTAAGCCTTGGAAGTCCAGTGATGTTTTGGAATAGGTGTTACCTGCAGAGGTAACTTCTGTTGTCTGGTGGTGTTGGTTCTGGCTGACATCCCTGTGAATGTCAAGTTCCCTGAGGGAGAGACTGCATCACGTATTTGCATCTGTAGCTTCAGTTTGGATTTCCAGCATTCCTGATCGGTCTCCCTTCTGTTTCCAGTAGAGTGAGCGAGGAACAGCTTTGCATAATCAAAGGCTCCCAGATGGATTTGCTTGCCACATCTTCAGTTTTGTGCTATGCAGTGTTATTTATTTCCTTCTCCTTTTCCTCTCTCCTTCCCCAACAATTACGTTACAGGTACAATCCCTTACATCCCTTTTGATTGTAGCTCCCAAAGCATGTGGCAACTCACAGGCACAACTCGCAATGCAGAGGAAGCAGGAGGGAAGATGCAGGTGGTATGTTTGTGTTTTGTGAATATTGATTTGAGAATTGACGTGGTGACAGGAAGGAGATTTTCTGCTCATCTTCTGACACAGTGAGACAAGTTACGAAAGGTACAAGTCATGTTTACTTTGCTTTTCTCCCGTCACTCCCATAGCTTTGACTTCTGTAGTGGAGTTTCCTCCTCACTTGTTTCTGCTGAGTACAGTGGAGGTCATACCAATGAGTATTGTTATATGTCTGGGAAGTGTGCTGGGAAATGAGGGTGCAGATGAATTTTGTCCCTGTGTACTTATACCCTGTTCCTGCGACAAGACCCTGAGTGAGATGGTAGCTGTGGTGAGCAGGAACAGAATAGGAATGCAGGACTTGCCTGTTATGAATACAGATTGCTGCCCGAACACTACAGATTGGTTCCTACTGTATGAGCACCTCTGTTATGCTCTGCTGGAACTCTTTTATTGACTGCTTGATTGCTGTGCATCTGCCAATAAAGAACATGTTTATCTAGAAGGGTCAGATACATGGTCACGGTGTGGTGTGTAAAGTGCTTCGTAAAGGTGGAGGGTGTCGGGTCATAAATAGCTTGTAAGACATTGGGAAGTTGCTTTGATTGTATCCTCTTTGGCATTTTTGTGTTGATCACTCATTTTCAAATGAAACTTCTTAGCAAATATTTCAACGAAAACATGAGGCATCTGAGTTTTCAGGCTTTCCTAATTGAAGAGCAGGTGTTCTGATGTGTAGTCTAGCTCGTTCTGGAAGTGGTGTTGTGCTTTGGCTCTTTGATAGAGTTGTAGTGGCAGAAGGTATGTCAAGGTTCTATTCTGCTGGCTTTGGAATTTAGTTAGGATTTTTTTTTTAAATGTGTGGGAAGAAAGGCTGTTGTAAACTACAGAACTGTGCTTTGAATCCAAGCCTCAAACTGCTGTTGTAGATTTCCTAGTAAGTGTGCTATGTGCTCTATGTTACAGATTATTGCCAGCCTAGAATATGGATCTTTCCCCTTGATGGTGTTAGATTTTGATGTGTTTTTCCTCTTCTCCCAGCTTTAAGTCATATTCCTCTTCTCTTAGTGGTTTTCCTTAGGTTCCAGTAGGTAGTGTTTAGGTGTGTTTATTCTTCTGTGCTTTAATAAAGTGACCTGTTGCCTTGGCATACCAGTCTGATCATTTATGCTTATTGCTTTAGAAGTTCCAGGTGCCAGCTGTGATTCTGCAGCCAAGAGTGAACACTGCTGCTAAAATAAGACTTACAGTGCTCTTGCTGATGTATTGCTTTCTGTTCTACAAATTAAATTGCTGGTATTGTCTACTAGTCGTTCTCTTTGGCTCCTTTTTTTATTAGTGTGTTAAGTAAAATCTTCTTAATGTCCTGTAGGAAAGCTCTCTGAAGGCTTGAAAGTGTACAAACACCTGTAGTTTGGAAACATTCTGTACACCAGAAAATTTACAATAAGTGTCTCTATCTGCTTCTCAAAAGTATTTCCTCATGCAAAGCTTTCTGTAGCTCTGGCAAGAACAGCTGATAAAGCCTTGAGATTCCTGTTTTGCCAATCTCATCTGGAAGATGTAGTAAAATAATGCAAAATAAATCCTCCATGGCAGAAATTTATTGGCCTGTTCTATGCAAATGTATATTTATTCCTCCCAAATTTAGTTTTTAACACTGGAATTT